TTTGAAGATTTCATTTATTGCTTCAAATGAGTCTTTTAAATAATTTTTTTGCCTCCTCAATTGTCAAGTCAAAATATATAATTTCGTGAAAATATGAACTTTTAGTTCTTATTTATTTTGATAACTTTTACAAAACTAAAATTGTAACAGAGCCCAACGATTTTCGAGAATTTCGACCGCCAACGTGTTCCGACCACTACAAAAAACTCGGGAACGTTAATGTCTGGAATGCTTTTCTCAATGGTCCTTTGTGTTCGTGTAGACTTCAGTCGCCTCGCAGGGGCACGTTTTCCCATTTTCTTATCTTACGTAATCTCAAAATGCGTCACCGGTGTTCAGCAGTTCCGAGAAACGAACACAAATCGCAAAAACAAAAGAATGAAAAAAGCACGTGGGAGCGTGGTGCTCCACGGAGCTCGTGCATTTCATTTAGCTTTAGAATTGTTTTCAAGACGTGCGTAGATGTCGTACCGGGTCTATTTTCGTCAACGCTCAGCGTTTCTTCGTCCTTCCATCTGTTACAGGCTGCCGAATCGGTCAAGCAGTGTTAAATACTGATTGTTAACGATATTGATATACCTAGCTGATAATATAGGCAACTTTGAAACGAACTTTATAAATATTGAGGAGACACGCTCAATGTGCGCATACGCGAGCCATTTCAAAACTAGCTTTCGACCAATAAGAGCAGTTCGTCACTTGCAGTTTTTAGGCACCTTTTGAAACACTCTGCGTATGGGATACAAATAGCGATTGTTGCGTCTTGTCGCAGTTGAAATGAATAAATAATTCAAAATTTCATTTCGAAACCTTGCTTGTTAGCCCATTTTATATTTTAGTTGCGTACAACTAAGAACTAAAATAAAGAGTCACTAAAAGTTTTGGTTGAATTACTCCAGATTTAAGCAATAAATGCAAATAAAAATTTTTGAGTTCTCAAAGCAATCTTAACCTAATTTGACAGTCATTCGATATGAATTCTGAACATCTGGCTATTGGCTAAAATGATGTGGTGGGGGATGATTGGATTGAGTTCGTCGGAATTTAACGAGCTGATGACATTTTCAGAGCAAAGATTAACCACGAAGAAAAAATAAATTTTGTTAATAATTGCAAAAAAACAGATAGCTCATTTGAAAAATCAATAACAAGAGGTTTGTTTCATTTCCAAAATAAGCAAGTTGACGCCCACTTTTGGTGAAGTCAGCGGTCAGCTCAGCGATTTAAATGTATTTCAACATTTTCAAATTCTTTTTAGTGCCACTTTCCTGCAGCAAGTTCCGGTGATTGCGTGATTCTCATCAACATTAATAATGGAAGAGTATATAAGCATTATGGCTTTTGTAGTTTATTAGGAATGTAGGTAATTTATGCACTTGAAGTCGCGATGGCTCCACTGTGCATTCCATTATTAATTTCTGCTAAACCTAAATAACTTAAAATAACGAAACAATTATCACTGCTGAACTTGTTGCCACTCAATTTTTAGAAATAGAATGTATCTTTGCGTCAAATTCTGTTACTGTGATTAAAGATAATGCCATATATTAGCTCCATTCTTGTTGTTTTACCGATTTGTTGTTTTGTTCAAGATCATCAAAATCGCACGAAAACTTCCAAATGAGTCAAGGCGCATGCTAACCAACTAAAATCTAATAAGTGGAAATATTTGAATATTAAGCAGTAAAATAAAAGAGAACTGTGGTCAGTTTCCTATTGTATCGCGTAATAAAAATTATATTTTCTCATTGAATAAATTAATATCCGATATAACCTTCAAGAACAAGCCACAAGCAAATTTGAAATTTGGCAATGATGTTGGTGCAGTTTTAGATTGTGATCTATAAAATCTATTTGCTAACCAAAATTGTCGGGATTACTTTGTGTCATTGCTTGAACCTATAAGGAGTTTTTTATTAATGGGTTACTTAGAGGCATAAATTAAACCAAAATTCCAGCATCGCTTTCTTCGTCGCATCCAGCTAGTTTCGAAGACGCGGCATCACTTGGCAACGTTGTGGAATGAACAAGGTCCGTCGTTGGCGCCGCCAACCGGTCGCCATCTTAGCGATAACCTGGTGACTTGATAAAGGCTAAGCGGCGCCTTACCGGGTGTGAGCGGAGATTATAGGAGGCCGCGGCAGTGTTTCGCAATCTTTTGTTTTGTTATGGTCACTTGGTAATCGTTTTACATTGTTTGTTTTGATTTTTTTTCTCCGCCGGACCGCCGCGCCGTCGTGATTAATAGTCCCGCGCCCGATCATACGGGAACTGCATTTTGTGAGTCCTTGGTCAAAGTTTCTTTTAGTTTTTCGTATTGTATTTTCTTGTAAAGGTAAAATAGCTGATCAAAAATTTAATTGAGGAACCTATGTTTTTTTATGATAATTTTAGCTTTTAGTTTTTGTAATATAATAAAATGTAATATTATCGTTAATTAATTAATATTATTATTATAATTTAATATTAAAGACGTCTGGCTAGAGGATAGAGATTATATGTTAAGGAAAATACAAGATGAATGAATGAAAATGAACATGGCCAAAACAAAATACTTGAGTATAGGTAAAGAAGACAAAGGTCCCGCCTTGTGGTTAAGACAGGTTAATCAATGCGAAGAGTATAAATACCTTGCTAGGCTCATCTGTACAAGACACAACGCAGAATACAATAGGGGCAGAGGAGTCTACGAGTTTTGAAACCTTTACTTTGGTCTAATCAAATATCTATAAAAAAAAAGCGCAATATACAGAGCCAATCATAGAAACAATAATGACATACGGATCAGAATGTTGGCAGCTAAAGGAATCAACGAGGAGGTAAATAGATGCTGTAGAAATCGATTTTCTCAGAAGATCATGTCGCATATCTAGGTTAGAACACATACCAAATGACGAGATTAGACGCCGCACAAATCGAATACACAGAACAACTAAACGAATTGAAACAAGACAACTGGTACGGTATGGGCATGTTCGACGAACGGAGGAAAATAGATGGACAAGAAAAGTTTTTGAATATGCTCCACTAAATAAAGAAAACGAGGGAGACCAGGTACCACATGTCTGGATGGAGTTATGATAACTCTAACGTTTCGGGAAATAAATGAAGAGGCTTGGAGAGAGAGAAACATGTGGCGATCGAAATGCGGCATGCGGCAGAAGCTGTAGGACCCTCGCCTTTGTTATTATTATTAATAGACGACTAGCAATGGGGGTTCATATTTTTCTATTACTCATTTATATGAGTGGTTAAACGTTTAATTTATTCACCGATATAATTCTTACTAAAATCATTTATTTACATGTTATTATTGGATGATCAAGCAAAATTTTCTTGAATTATTTTGTAAAAAATAAAATTTATTGTAATAAACGTTGATATATTCCGAAATGTTATTATTGCTTAAGAAAACTTAAACCACACACATTCAACTAAATATGTACGTTGAATTAATTTTTTTTTCAAAAAGAAAAAAATCTTTAACTCTTTGTGAGAACTAAATTCTTAGATAAAGAATAACAAAATAACAATTAATTTGAAACATTATTTTTTATTAATATCTAAACGACGCACTTTAGCGAATATTATTGGCAAAAAATGTACGCCACTGCCGTTTCTTGTACATTAATATTTTTTGTTTCGTTAAGCATCCAAAAATACAACTTCTTTGACCCTTCTATGCTTTTTCGTATATTTCACTTCATTTTTAGAGAAAAACTATAAAAACAACAATTTATTATTATCTATTATTACACTTATCTGCCATTAGTATTAACTTGAATGATAAAGAAAGAATCCACATTACTGCCGGTCTCTCGTCTCCTAAATAAAATTTGCCACACCAAATAGATATTGGCTGCTTTGTGGACCCCATTTCAGTTTAGATCGACTTCGCTGCCGTATCAATCACGAATTGTTTGCTTCAGTTATGATCGCACACTCTGATATTTGAAGGTTGACATTATAACGTAAAACCTATATCAAACATAATATCCTAAATATTACATTCTGTGTTGTTAAGTATACACAGTGATCCTTGCGGGAATTTTGGGGGAGGTCTTACATATATATACGGAGCTGTCATAAAGGCCTGGATGTAATATCCAGGAGAAATCGACTCGACTTACCTCTCTCTCCCGCCCTCCCCATCCCTCACTCTCTCTTTCCCTCAACCTTCCTCCCTCTCCCCCCTCTCACCCTTCCGACCACTCCAAGCATTCTTTTCGGCATGAAGAGTGGGAAATTGAAGCGGCTAATAATCCCTAACGCCTCACGATCGATGGTAATAGTGCCGATGGTAGCGTTATGTAAGATGAATTTTAAAAGGAGAGTCCAACCTACTCGATGTAAGTATCCGTACCGCAGCAATACTGCCTCATATTAAAATAGATGAGGGCACCTGTATAATTCTTTCAAATGGCCCTGTGACCGACATAGCATTTTTAATTTTCTTAGAACGACTGCTAGACAAACACCTGTTTCCTTAACGCCTTGGCCCAGTCACCTGGATTGCCACAATTCAGTCCACCTGAAATAAAAGTACTCTAACATCTGCGGTCTATGACAATAATCCGCTCATCGTGTGTGATGAAAAATGTAACGAAAACGCACGCAATGTGGGACCGCATATTTAATTGCACACGGGCATCATTATGTATATGCGGGTATCCGTTTAGTAAGCAACTTGTGTTTTAGGCGGATTTGGAAGATTAAAAATACTTTAGTGCAATCAACATAAAAAAGTTTCTTCTATGCCTCTGTTGAAAGTCCTGCGTATTTGGTTAATTTTTAATATTATAATAAATAATAATAAATTATTTGACGGGTGTTGCATATTTACTTAGTGACCTCTCTTGTCACAGTGTCCAAGAAATATATTCTAAACGGAAGTTGTAATTAAGCCGACAGATAACAGTACATCCTTTAAATGACGACAACGTCCAAAGTTCACACACCGTCCTGTAGGTGGCGCTCGACTTCTGAAAAGGAAAATAAGTTGGCCGGCTTAAAAAATGACAACTTGTCAAACAAATTGCAAAAACGAAATCCATTTTTTTGCCATTAAAAAAGCTACTAACAGTAATATGAGTTCTATGTGATGCATCCTTGATAATTTCATTCGCATCTGCACAAAGAAAAATGTTCAAAATATTGTAAAATACTTTAGGAAGACATCAGGGTTTCGAAACAATAAGATGTTTTTTGATAACACTGGGGTTCGTATTTTATAATTTAAATCTTTCTCCCTTACTGAATGCGTTTTAACGTTGTAGCTGGCGGTTGTGGGTCCATCAGATCCAGCAAAGTTAATTGATTTGGGATCTGAGTATGTACAAACTCATTGTGTAATAGCTGATGGTGGCGACCGATTTGGGGTTTCTTCTGTAGCATTTGATAAACAGGAAGAGCTTCTGTGGATGGGCAATCAGGGGGTATAACAAATTTTGTTATCCATTTGCTTTATGAGAGTGATTTGTTCAATGGAACAAGTCATAAAAAATTGCTGCTATTGCAAAAATGTAAGTCCTGAATTAAATTTTCAGGGGCATGTGACGTCATATTATACAGGAGTAATGTCTAAATACACCTCATTTCAAGTCCATGCACATGAAGAAGTAAGGCAGGTTTTAACTTTTGATGAGGGAATTGTGGCACTAACAGCGAGCACTTTAAGATATCAAATTAGAAGGGGATTGCCAGTATTTACTCACAAGTGTGTAAAATGGCTAAGATCCTAACTAAGGTTATAATTAATTTAGTAAATTTTTTCAGTTCTAGCAATATGAATGAAATGCAGTGTATATTGCCCATGTCACCATCTCGGTTACTTATAGGTGGTCACAGGGACAAACTAATAGATTTTAACTTGCAAGTTTGCAAGGAGACACAAATTGTAACTCCTTTAATATACTGTGTTGCATATATACTTTATATGTATATTTTAGATAAATGTCGCAGAAAGGGCTACTGTACTTTTACGACCTCACAATAGGTTTGTCTGCGCTGGGAGCCCAACTGGCAAAATCGAGTTAAGAGATCCCAACAACCTGAAACTTGAACATACATTAGATACGCACACTGGTAGTTTAAGCGATTTTGATGTCCAGGGTAACTTGTTAGTAACTTGTGGTTTTAGCAAAAGGTGGGTAATTTGCAATCAACTCTTGCCAATCTTAATAAACTACATTTTAGTCGACTGGGTAACATGGCGGTCGACAGGTTTTTGATGGTTTATGATTTAAGAATGTTGAGAGCTGTATCACCAATGCAAACTGTGATAGATCCATTATACTTGAGATTTTTGCCATCAATGACTTCCCGCCTGGCTGTTGTATCTGCTGCAGGGCAGGTGCAATTATTGGATACTATAGCTTTGGCAGAACCTAAAATATGTTTGTTACAAGTTGAAAGTCCAGGTACAGTTTCTTACACTTGTATGAATTTTTATTTTACTTTAAATACAATAATCTAAGAACCAACCAACCAAATATTCAAAAAGTATAGACCTCTTTGATGATGAAACCATCATGTGTTCTATTAAAGTGTACACCTTCCAAAGGTACAATGATAATGACATTTGACATCAGTTCAACATCCCAAGCAATGGCATTTGGTGATAGTGGAGGACAAATCCATTTGTTTTCAAGTACAGAGGAACCATTATTCAACAACTATTCTAGGCCAACTGAGTTTCCAGATCCAGTGGTTCAATATGATAGTTTTAACATAGACGATTACAACACATCCCTGGGTAGTGTTCCAATGCCTTACCAACCTCCAGATGTGTTACTGTTGTCAGATTGGCCAGCACATCTAATTCAATATTCTTACAGGTAAGTGGTGTGGTTAGTTGGTTATTGGTTTTTTAGAATGTTTGTAACAATTTTGTTTTCTTGAGCTGAAACCAATTATAGCACTAATTAAAATTAATTTTATGCCCACTTACATACCTATATTGTCAAAAAAAAAAATAAAAATAAAACAAAACAGTCTATCTAGTCATATATTCTGAATCCTCAAAAATTAGTGTTTCCAGTTCAATATATTCATTTTAAAAAATTTCATTAAAAAAAAAAAATCAGAAATGAAGACTTTAGCCACAAAATGCGTTTTGGAAATAGGGGAACGCAGCAGCTGCATCTTGTAATCAATTTATTTATTTGCACGCTGTATTAATCAAGGATTAAATAAAAGATTTATTTATCTCTGGGTTAATTCATCAGTTATAAACAAAAATACTTAAAAATTATTTTTAATGCGCAGATAATTTTGATTAGAAAAATGTTTTGAAAATTTCTTCATATTATTATTATGAATTATAATGTTGTTAACATTCGAAATTTGAGAACGCCTTAGAATTCAAGTGAAAATTCAATAATTGTGAATGTAAATAAAAGCTTAAATTGAATGTAACTTTCTGCATTGTGATGTTTTGCGTACCTTTTTTTTTAAACTAGAAAACCCCCAAGCATAGATCCCGAGGTACTTCGTACAATGAAGGTTCAGGGACCTATAGGGTACGCTCCGAATCCGCGACTGACCCACCGAAATCAAGTGAGAGTAGAAAAATTAAAGCCGGTATATTTTTGCTAATATTAACAGGTTATTTTTTATGTTGTTAATATTAACAGAATTACTAGAAGTTTCTTATTTAGATTTCCCTTGGAATGTCTCTAATTTTTTGAATAATTTTACATTTTTTGCATTGACTACATGATTTTTAAGGTTGTTATTAAAGTTATTTATTATTTTGGACTGTTCATAAAGGCTGTAATTAATTAAAACATAGAATAAAAGTGTTTTCGTTGGTTTATATATCTTTTATTTTTTACATGCAACCTTATATAATCGATATGAATTTCGATTTCCAGTCAAAAAAGTTAAAAATTTTTGACATAATTTAATGTAATACATCACACCTGGAAAATGCTTGTTAATTTTTTTTTATATATTGAGATATAAGAGCTGCTTATTATAGGTTATGTATGATTTGGGCCAAAATGGCTACCACAGCTTCAATTCCCATTCCAACAGGAGCCCTCAGCATCAAGATGGCGAAAACTTTATCGCTATTCCGAAAAGGTACCGAAAAATTGACGTTAAATACAACAAGATGGGTTCTGAAGATTTTCAGTTTGATAGTTACAATAAGACTGGATTGGCCGGCTTAGAAGCAACGTTGCCAAATTCCTATTGCAACGCTGTCATTCAGGTGCTCGTCGGCTGCGGTGACTATCTGCTTAGCTTAATTAAGTGTTCTTTTAGGTTTTATATTACATAGAACCCCTACGTGCGGCGCTGCTGTCTCACTTGTGCGAAAAAGAATTTTGCTTGTCGTGCGAGCTCGGTTTTCTATTTCATATGCTGTCTCATAGCCCTCAGAATCAACCCTGTCAACCCGGGAACTTTTTGCGGGCGTTTAGGACAGTTCCCGAGGCTTCCGCTCTGGGTCTTATCCTAAGCGATCTGCATCCTGAGGCGAAGCAGAAGATTGATCTGGGGGCGTTAGTTCAGGTGAGTTATTTACTGTGATCTGAAAATTTTGCTTAATAAAAGAGGCTCCATGGTCTTTATTATTTACTTTCACGAAGTCTTCACTAGTTAAGTATTTCCAGTGGTTTTCAGGTGAATAATGAATAAACATACAAGTTCATTTATACTATAGATTTGTTGAAAACTTATAGCTCTCCAAACCATAAACCGGTATTTAATTTGGTAATTTTTTTTGAATGTCTAACCGCTTGGGTTTCTTTTTGTAATATTCAATAAATAGATTCGCAATTCCACATTGACGTTCCAGAACCGTACTTTGGTACTTCGTGCATACAAATGCTGAAAGCGGACGGATTTGTCTAGAGTTTCATCATTGAAATTTCTCGATTATTTTTAGTCCATGCAGTGAAAAATCCATTCTTACTTTTTAAAAATAAATATAACTGAAGGAGTAAATTTAGCTATAAAACAATGTTCGATTATTTATAAAAAAAAGTTATTCTACGTCAAAATAATAACTATTTTCACTTGACTCTTCCCCCACATTAATAATTAAGCGGTTGACGGGATGAGGCTGATGAATAAAATTTAAAAGTCTAATGTACTGTGTATACAAATTATATAAAAATAATAATCCTTGTTAAAAAAACATATAATATATGTATGTATATAGTGTATCTTCAATGATATCACAAAAAAAGATTTTTACAAAAGAGAAAAAGAAAAAAAAAGAGTTATTGATTGTAATGAATATCTACTCTCATTATATGGTGCACTTCTTTATTCAGTTTGTTTTTGAAAGAATTAGTACTTGTTGCGGACACTGCGTCTTCCAACAAAAGTTTTTTCTCTGTAGTTTGGCAGTCTTTTCTTTGGTTAATTTTTTGGAGTGACCTCGTAGATGGGTCATTTTGAAAGATGTTCAGTTGACATGAGTATTAGTTTTGTATCATCTTGCTTTTTACAGCTTGTGGAAGTTTCTTTGAAAAATTTGTATCATCTTGTAAGTCTCAATTAGATCGCCATGTAATCTTCTTTCTTTCAACGTTGTTAAATTCAGCTTTACTTATAGGAATCATTAGATAAATGGATTGGAAGTTTTGTTATTCTTCTTTGCATGCTCTCAAGCATTTCATGTCTTTAATAAAGTGGGGATCCCATATTGTCTGTCCATATTCTAATTCTGGACAAATGAAAGACTTATAAAGTTTTACTATGGCCTGAGATGATCTGTTAAGAAAGGTCTTCTTCATAAAAAACACCAAAGAATTAACCTGTTTAACTACTTTTGAAATATGTGTGTCTCCCATTTCAATTTGGAAGTTATCCTAATTCCAAGGTCTTTCTGCTTTTCTACATGTTCTAAGCCCTTTTTATTGAGGGTAGCGATAGTCAGTTCTGATTGTTGATACTCAAACCATTGCATTGCAATTCGTTTAGTTTCATTTTTAATTTTAACGGCCCAATAACTGATTCCCGCGGAACACCACTAAGCACCTTGTGCCAATTTCACAAACTGCCATTTACTCATACTTGATAGTAACGATCTTTCAGAAATGAAGCAGTAAGACATAGTAGATTTCCTCTAATCCCATAGTGTTCGATCTTAAGCAAAAGGAGATTTTGCAGAACTTTGTGAAAAGCCTTTTCAAAATCTAAATCAATTACATCAACTTGTTGATATTTGTCGTAGCCTTTCGTCCAGTCATCTAAGCATTTTATTAAGTTCGTGATGTTGATCTCCGAGATAAGAAGTAAGAGGTAAGTTGATACCCTGATATAGTATTATTATTTAAAAAGAAAGGCGTTAATTCAGCTGCCATAATTTTCTCCGTACATTTACATGAATGACATGTTAAGGTAATTGGCTTATAATTGCTTTCTATGTGCTTATCGCCCTTCTTGTATAATGGTGTTACAATAAAGGATTTCCACTGTTCAGGTAATTTACCATTTTCTAGTGCTTCATTCATTATATTCGACAAAATAGTGCTTACACTACTGGAACGTCTCTGACGAAATACAACCAACTATTATATTATCAGGAACTGGACTGACATCAGTTTTTAAATTTTTCAGAGCCTCTTTCACTTTTTCAGGTGTGAAATCAGTGGACGTCATCTCTGAAATATAACGGGATGTTGCTGGATGTGATGGCAATGGGTCTCCATCATTCTCCTTTGTTAACACTGTGTCAAATTGTTTGGCAAATTTTTGACACATTAGATAATCACTCGACAGCGCTTCCCCATTTTCATCAATTAAAGTAATAGTTGATACTTTTGAGTTTAATCTTTGGTTTATATATTTATAAAAATGTTTAGTAGACTTCAACGAGGCAATTTCTTGTTCGTATTTGATTCTGGCATTTGTTATCATTTTCTTCAGCCCATTATTATGCACACGATGTTATAATCTTGATTTCAAGTCCTCACGTATTTCTCCCATAGCTTTCGCTTTTTATGAGTATCCTTAAAAATGATCGATGTAGTTTAACCTTGGCTTATTTGGATTTACTTTGATAGGTCTAATTGGAATGTGTTTATTGATGACTTCAGTAATTATTTCCATGTAATGATTAAATATATTCTGATTTTCTCTTAGGTGGTACAGTACAGCACAGTCATTATAGTTGACCTTCCAGTAGTTTCTTTTTAGGACTTTGTGAGTGGATCCATTTGTGAAGGTAGCAGGTGAGTTTTAGCAGTTATTATAATATGATCACTTTCGCCCAAAGATGGATGACTGCATACATCATAAAGGAGTTTCTTGTCGTTAACCGGAATTAAATCCAACATGAGGCTTGAGCATTTCTAAAACGAGTTGGGAAGGATACCATCTGAAATTTATTTATATCTAAATAACTATGTAAAAGTATTTCATTTGACTTATTGAAACACTGTAGGTTAAGATTCTCCCAATCTATAAATCTGTAGTTGATGAGTAGTCCGGTCGATATATGCAACATACTTTAAGAGTTGTAGAATGATATAAAATTTTAAATAAACTTTACATTTTAAACCAGTTGATGACATGTTCTACACATTTTTTCCATCTAGAAGCAGACATTCTTTCTACTTCACTTCTAATTAATTCTATTCCCCCGGAACTAAATTTCGGCGAAGTGTTGTTTAATTTTAAACTGGGTTTTAGCTGTCCCTATGTCAGCTCTACCGGATTAAAATTGCAGTGATGTGGTGGAACATTGAAACACCGTCTCTCCAAGGCCAACTTGGGCATATTATACTTCTTATCAAACGTTTCCGTTTTAAGAACTTCCTTTCTTGAAGGTATCGTGGCTATCAAACCAATTGTTCGTACGAACGCACTCAAAGCCTCTTAGAAACAGGCAATGTTCAAAACACTACGCAATTCTTCATGTAAAATTTTAATTGTTAATACAATATTCCTCTGATACGCATGATATATTAACCGTCTCACTATTGCGGCATGGTGCATGTCAAGTAGACTTTTTGGAATCCCACGATCTTTTTGCGTTTTTCTTTCTTAGATGCCATTCACAACTATGTCACGTACTGTTGCATACGGTGTTTTAGTCAACTAGGACGTTAATTTTCGCGATTTCACCAACCCCCACAAATCAAGCAATAGCAAACAAGGAAATGGACAAATTCGACTTGTATTAATATAACAGTTTAATCGGCTAATATTTTAAATAAGGCCCTGGCCTGTACACTTGCTGAAAAGAATGGTCCCTTCCGCTTTACGGAAACCATAAAGGTTTGCAAAACGGTATATCTTTTGGTTAACTTTAATGAGTCAGAACCGTTCATGTATAGTTTTTAAATCGGGAGAACTATATGTTGCTGCTTTAATATTAAGCGTTGCTAGCCCCAATACTTTAACAAAAAAAGAATTTATTGCACGATGGAGGCTCTGTTGACAGTAAACAAACATGACGGTTAGGAAGTAGTTCATAATGTTTAGTTGTTACCTTTGCACCTTGGAATTTTGAAAACCTAAAATTTTAATTGAATCCAAGAACATTTTTGCATTGTGCCTTTATATTGGGAAAATTTAAAGCACTCCTAATGCAATTCAGGCCAAAATGTCTATTGTAGAAATAAATCGCGTTGTAAAGCTGATTTGCCGGAAGTGGCAATTTATTGTTGCCGTTCTCCTAAAGAGTCAAGTAAGTAAAGAACAAAACTTTTACTTCAATAATTGAATTTAATGTTTCGTAGGTGGCAAATTAACAGAGCAATTTGGATTGTGTTTTTTTTTTTGGAACGGGTAAGCAACAAAAACCATACAACGCGAACACATAGCTCTTATGAAAAGAACGCAACCATTTCAAATTTTACTGCTAAAGCAGATTATCATTTTTACGAAGAGGTCTTATGGAGTTGTAAACGCGGAACCGCTCTCCTAACCGCAGTTCAATTGTCATTGGCTGAGATGTTGAACTGAAGTAAAATGTCATGTCATAATTTTAACCTTGCATAAAGGTTTATGATAAATAAATGCAAATGATATTCAGTTCATTTAATACTGTGAAATTGATGTGCTTTTGTGGGCTATGACATTTTTATAAATAAGTAAATCATCGGCATACCCATAAATTTCACACACTTGTGCGCTTCTTTCTAGACAATTCTAGACTTTTTTTATTCGTGAACATTTAATATGATATGGGCATTATTTTGACAAAATACTGCCGAAAAATGCCACATCTAAACTGAATACTGTAGAATTGACGAACTTTTGGTGGAAATTTGACTCGTGCATGCGTATATTGATTGTTCTTTTCTCATCATGGCTATATTCATAGCTATGTCATACACTTTAGAATATTCAGCTTCCCTTCATATGAGTTGGACAGGGATCAGAATCATTCACACAGAGCAACTGGCAAAGAAGCAAATTCAAGAGAAATATACAATCATAAGGAAAATGACCGTAGAGACCATAAAAAAACACCCATGACGGCACCTATCACAGTCTTAGTTGTTTAGGCATGTTATTCACATGAAAAGGACTAGAGATACTTAACTAGTTGAAACGTAGTGAATAAATATAATCTAAGTCGAACAAATATCTTTTATTGAATGCTTGCCACCATGTATAATGAGTTTCTAGCAAAAACATTAACATTTCCGGTAGAGCTGGAGTAGATTCATGTTGCATCAAATGCACGTTGAATTGAACGAGACCAGAAAACATAAGGAAGAAGCCAAAGCAAAACTTTCCAAACCGTTTATCTATAAGGAGATCGACTTTCCTTTAATATCGAAAGAAAAAGTGAATCGGCAAGATAAAAAGCACACCGGTAAGGCAGTAAATTTCACCCAAAACCGTTGTATGCTGTTGGCCTTTCAGCAACGGAAATCAACAACGAGATGGAGGAAGAGAAGCGGGAAGAGGTTTCCGACATTAGTGTGATTTTCGGCGCGAAACAGACGAATTCCAATTGTTGCTTGAAATGCACTAACGAAATTCAGAAAGAATCGGTGCTGCTCTCGTGCAATTTGGTTTATCCTACCAACGAACCGGAACGGGACGAATGGAGTTTTTGCGACATCTTGAAGAGGTCGCTTTGTCCTCAGCAAACGACCCCCGCATGGTGCGATAAGTGCTCCAGATTTACACCCACTTCCCATTCGAAAATTATACAGGTTAGAAAAGTTTGTGATCATTTATAATAATTATTTCAATTTGTGTGTCCCTTTTTTGTTTGCATTATAGTGTAGCTCTTGCCTACTATAGCCCGGTGTACTCTTGATATGCGATTCTGACGATTTATCAAAGACAAGTTGCCAAGTTTAGGATACGGCTTTCATAAAAAAGTGTGAGAGATCTGAAATGACAAGAATTAGATATCACATTTTAAGAAGAAGTGTTTTTCTTAGACAATGTTATTGAAGTGGTTCGAAATAATTTGGGCTGGTATTTGCACTTTTTTTTTATTTAGTAGCCTGTAAATTTTTTGATTTGATTGTCGGTAAATTCTATGAATTTTGAATCTCCACAGCGTTTTTGCGCTAGTAAATAATAAAGGTCTAAACTTACCAGAACAAAGTGCGATTTGCTCTTTAAAATATTACGTCTCGCTGCTACCAGCTACCAGTGAGCAAATCGATACGGAGGCACGCTTACCTATCAAGCAGAGCCGTATTTGGATTCAAAACTATTCTTAAGGAATATTTTCAATAATTTTAAAAGGAAATAAGTACGTTACAACGCTTTCGTTACCTTGGGTGCCAAGCTAGGAAATTAAACATTCAAAAGTCAGAAAATTTAATTAAGCAACCTACAATTTTTCGACTATTCGGTTATTTTTATTATTTTAATATTATTTGTGGAAAATATCGTACATAAACATCTTCTGAGTAAAAGATTTGTTTGGTGGTGTAGATACGTAGATAGATGATGTGTTTGCTTGCTTCACTGGAACGGAAAGACAACTGGAGTCGTTTTTGCCATAAACCCTTACACACGATGGCCGCCTTTTATTCTCTGATCCACAGAGTACTATATATACCAATTTCCACAGAAAAATTTTAAAAATAATTTAATATTATAAAACAAATACCTTTTAACAATAGTTACGAATGATCTTTGATAAGTAAGATTATAACTAAAAAACAGTTTCAAATAATAAAATAAATAACTGCTAGCCCTATCTATACCATATGAAACACCGAATCCAAAATGTATAAAACAATAAAATACATGGGAGAACTTAGCAAGAAAATTTCGAAACATCTATCTAAATTTGGTGTTAATATTGCTTTTAAAACTCAAAACACTATTGAAAATTAGAAAAAAACAATAAAACTAAATCACGAAAAACTCCAGAGTCCCGGAGTCTACAAGTTGAAATGTGGATCATGTCCGAAAATTTATATCTCACAAACAGGTAGAACATTTAAGAAACGCATTAACGAACATAAAGAAGCGTATAAAAATAAAAGTTCGGATTCTAAATATGCCATTCTTTTAAACACAGAAACACACAAGTTTGACGATGATTTTGATATTTTACATAATTAAAAAAAAAGCAAAAAATTAAATTTGTTAGAAGCTATGGAGATTAATATAATTCGATCGAATTTATTACTTATTGAATTGTATTGAAATGCGTCTCCCTTGTTAAATTTAAATTTTAACCCATTAAGCAATTAAGATTCTATTACTACCTGATTATATGCATAGATGGCGGAATATTGTCATATTTTGTATTTGATAAAGGCACGGTTTTGTCGAAACAGCTGTCATAAAGTAATAAATAACTATGAAAATCGGAAAATGTTTTGTTCTAATTTAATTGTATTTTTATTCCTTATACTTTTTATCTTTTAAAATGTTAGCTTGCCGCTGAATATTGTATTTATTTTTCTGCGTATTTATTATTTAATAGATGCAACTTGTAATTGTAATTTTTTAAGAAGTATTAAATTTCATAAAAATCCGATCATATATTTATCACTTTCAGTCATTGCCGAAAGTGTTATGTCTCAACACTGGGCTGCATAGTCAACAGCACAAGCAGTTTTGGCAAACCCAAATGGACAAGGTCGTGGCGAAACTATCCGATATCGGAAAGTAAGCGACACAAATATCTGCTTACTTTCAAATGATTTATTTCCAAGTTGAATTTTATTAGAAACACAACTCCGTCGACGACTCCAACGAATACCCCGTCGTCGAAACCATGCCGTTACGGTGACCACTGTTCGAGACCTGGTTGTCGATTCCGACATAGTTTTGATAATACGCCCCCACTCGTGCCGTCGAACAATCCTTATTGTAGCAACAACTGGCTGCCCCATAAGATCAAAATGAGTCTGAAAGCCGCTGAATTAAATATTGCGAAAGTGCCGGCACCAACTGAAGGGGTAAGAGGTTAAACGCATTTGGCATTAATAAACCATTAAGACTATGACAGTGCAAATAAGTGCACGGAATACAGAATCATAACAAATATAACACCAGGGGACAAAACGACATACATATAAGAGTTAATAGAACAAACAAATTCTTGCACCATCCACTAATTCAAGCAATTCTAATTTTTAATTCAATACGAACAGCATATCCGCTCAAATCTTAACTTATTCTTTTTTGCCAAAAATATAAAAACAATACCTACAGTTGAAACAATAATTAGAAATAAGAAAAAAATATATTTTTTATTGATTTATTTTACAAATATATAAAACCTGATTAGTATTACAAACAACAAAATGGAATAAATATACTTATTTCAATAGATTTGAGAATTGTTGCACTAAATGACTAGTCCTAATAACTACGTTTACTTCCAGCATTAAAATGCAATTTTTCTTGCTTTTATTGACATAAATTCCCGGATGCGACGCATCCTTTGCTTACACATAGAGTCGGCACCGAAGATATAATAATAATAATTATTATTGTCTAACATATTAACATCCATTTAGAAGACAATTTCATCTTGAGAACTATAACTGTAATAAGTATTTAACTATATTCATTCCAGCAAAGTAATAGTGAAACCTACAATCCATTATAATATTTCAAATTTAAGTGGTAAACTGTGAGCGACTAAGACAAAAAACGTCAATACCATTACAGAAGTTATTAAATAGTTTCATCAAATAATTTCATCAACTGATAGAGAACACATTTAATCAACAAATTGGTTGATGGAAATACAGGTGATGCCCTTATACTCCTTGAAGCAACATGAAAGTTGAGCTGGCTCAACAACTCAGGGCAGTCCACTAATGAATTGCAAAGTTTATATAAATACTGAAATGAAAGGTACCTCCTACGATTCAACAGTGACGGAACCTTAAACATTAGTGATAAGTCACTCTGTGGCAGTCCCCTAGCCGATTTTTACAAAACCAAACACTATTTTTTATTATATTGTGAATTTTTGTTTGGCAATAAGGAACTGTATATATAGTAGTACAGAATGGTCTATAATTTAATCCTTTCAGGCCACGGAAGATGCCCCAGGAAAAAGAAACAGCAATTCCTTTGCAGGGGATTCTAAGACATATGAACTGACTGCAGTCGTTTGTCACATTGATGACCAGTCATCACCTGATAAACGTAACCTGGTCGCGTTGATAAAGGTTCCTGACAGTTATCTACGAAATAAAGAGCATAACGACAATAAATGGTAATAAGCGTTATCTATATCTGTATTTATAGAGGTGCCTAGTTCCATCTAGCCCCAACAAAGTGTAGTACTGAGTTAAACTGTTTTAACGCTGTAACCAAAGAAATTTTTTTTGGGTAATTTTTATGTCTTAGTTATGAGTTTGGTAAATTTCAGGTATTTATTCAATGACTTTAATATAAGCCCTGTACCCGCTCAAGAAGCAGTATGGTTCAGTCTCGATTGGAAAACACCCTGTGTGTTGTATTATTCGTGTACAGATCTCGCCGACTATAAAAGCGAGATCACTCATCCGCTGTCGAGAGTAACATAATATGTTCATTTGTCACACCCCGTTTATTGATCTCATAATTTTTAGGAAGTGTTCACCGAAGATAATTGCATAGCCAGGTCGGGTGGTACCAGGGGTATCACGTTTACTCCTCTACACGACAACGAGGTCCTTAAATCTGGTGATTTAGTGGCTATGGACGCCGAATTCGTAACGTTGAACCAAGAGGAGGCGGAATTGCGGAGCGACGGCAAGATGTCTACTGTCAAACCGTCGCAGATGTCTGTCGCGCGGATAACCTGTATTAGGGGGTAATAATGTCGATTTGAAGGTTCCTATAACTTGCAACCACATTCTATGGACAGGCATGGGACCTTTGAGGGTACTCCGTTCATCGACGATTACATATCCACCCAAGAACAGGTGGTGGATTACTTGACCAAATTTTCGGGCATTAAACCTGGAGATCTGGACGCCAATTTTAGTTCAAAACATTTAACCACTTTGAAGTCCACTTACGTCAAGTTGAGGTTTCTCCAAGACAGCGGTGTGGTCTTTGTCGGACACGGTTTGAAGAACGACTTTCGGTGAGGATAGGGTATATTTGCGTGACGTAGAACTATCAACATTTGAGATCCAAGGAAACCAATATGCCATTCGATTCACTTCAATTCACTTTTTGTTGATTATTGGGAACTGTTTAACAGACTTCAATCTTTCAGTAGTGTAGTTGGAGTTAGAGTATTTTATTGAAAATCACAAAGTAACCAACAAATATTAATAGTCCGAATACATTTTTGGCAGATTATCTTACTTTTCAAGGTTGGTTTTAACCCTACAATCAGAGAAAAAATGCAATTTTTTAGGAGGTGTCAACCGATAACACACATTAATACGTTTAAATAATATTCTTAACATTGTGTTTCATTTTTAAGTCTAATACTTAAAAATTAGTAGTTGAATAATTCTACTCTAATTAAGACCAACCTTCCTAAATGGTCATTGCCGGGTCATGTCAGTGACTCCTTGACCAGGACCAGAACCAAATGTTAAACAAAAAAGTCTGAAAGCTCATATAGGAAATCTAGTTGTTTGGATCCCAAACGATGCCAATTGCTAACCAAAATGAATCAATACTAGAAAAACAATATCTTAAGATAAGTAAGATAATATTAGAAATAATACTTTTATGTATTTGCTACATATAAAGCTAGACTTTCAGTTAGTTTGTATTTTTGGTTGGCCGTTCTAAGGTAGTACTTTTTATATTTATTCCGTCGCAACTATTGGGAATACCATTATCATTAATCACAGTTCCTTGTGTAATTATAAGTTCGATCTAAAAATTATCACATTATAAGTAAGTTTGTTGATAGTACACATGCACATGCGTAATTATCCCCAAAGTTTCTTTTTAACACATGGATGTTTTATCTCTTTTCGTGAGTAAATCGGCTCATGTAGAGTTCCCCAAACGATATGTCATAATCCGGTATTTAACTTTGGTAAATTTTTATGAAGATCTAATCGCCTTCCTCGCATGGGTTTCTCTTTTTAACCCTCAATAGATTCGCATTTCCACAATGACTTTCCAGAACCGTACTTCGATACTTCGTGCATACAAAGACTTGTCTCTTATTAATGTTTTTGTAATAAAAACCAATTCTGCATGCGAACTCACGCAAAGTCTCTTTCCAATAGTCAATGTTCAAAACACTACGAAACTGCTCATGTAAAGTTTAAATTGATACCCTGATACGCATAAACCGTCTCACTATTCCGGCGTGGTGCACGTCCAATAGACTTTTTGGAAACAAACGATCTTTCCACGTTTTTTTTTTCTTGGACACCCTTCACAATTATGTCACATACTGTGGCATATGGTGTTTAAATCATCTCGGCAGTTAATTTTATGGTTCAACTTTCCCAGATGTCGATTTCAGAAAGACAAATACATTTAAAATTATAATTTTGGCAGCAACCCGCAAATATCTCCGAATCTTTGATCTATTTGAATTTGACGGATGTTCATCATCAACGATTATCACGTCATCGACCACAATCGCTGAACATCTCAAGTGACTAAGAAAATTAAGTAATGTTTTCTGATAAGAAATAAGTTATAATAAAATGTATATGTACATTAATAAAAATGGCACACTGAGTCTTGAATAACAGTAAGTTAAGGTAATTACTAATTATAAACACAAGATGGAATAGAAATAACTCCGAAGCTTCGACGGCTGAGGAAATATCGTTTCATAAAACTGGGTATACGCCGGTTTCACCAACCCTCAGAAATCAACCAATAGCAATCTGGGAAAACATCCATTATAAATCAATTATCTACATAAGATTTTGTATTGCTTTCATGGAAAAATATCTTAGAGTCATTATGTTAAACCCTTAAATTGGAAATCAATATAACCTTTCCAATGTGTTTCGATCATCAGATTTAGATCAACCCACGTAATGGGCAAATTCAACTTAAAATCGAGTGACGCTAAGTAGGGACTGTTTTAGGACGATTTATAAAAATCACACTAATTTTAATATAACAGTTTAATCAAAGACAATTTCCCTAATCTTAAAATACAACAGTCCGCACTGCACAGTTCTTGTCGGCTAACATTTTAAATTTCTTCCACGCGGGTCTTAAACTCATTCAAAAATCAAAATCATAAAAGGCTGAAAAAACGGTATATCGTTCGGAGAACTCTACCATCCGATAATCGGCCTTCTAGGAGTATTAATTCTATGAATATAGTGTGTCGGCCCAGGGCGAATGTGTAAGTGTTTTTTTTTTTTTTCACGATAGGGTAATAAATTTGGTGGTGCCACCCGAACAAGTTGTGGACACGGTGCAGCTGTTCCATTTGCGTCACCACAGGATGGTGTCTCTTCGGTTCCTGGCGTGGCACTTTCTAGGTGAACTGCGTCCTTTTTATTTGCCTTTCTCGGGCTAACGTGCTCGCCCTTAATATGTAGGTATAAAAATACAGGCAGAGACGCACGACTCTATCGAGGACGCCCGAACGGCGTTGCATTTATACAAAAAATATAAACAATTAGAACAGGATAATAAGGTAGGTGAAGCGTTAGCAGAGTTGTACGACGTCGGTGAGCAGTTGAAGTGGAAAGTTCCCGACGAATAAAACCAATAGAAATTAAAACAAAAAACAAATAAAGAAGAAAACAATTTTGGTCTTTGGGGGATTTTGGTTTAAATTTACGTAAACTGCGCAAAAGACAACTTAAACTTTGTTTGGGGTTAATAACGTGGCAGTACATTTCGATAAAGAGTAAGCACGAACCGGTGTTTTGTAGCTCTTCGTTTTTAAACTTTTTTTTTCATATTTTTAAGTGTTTTGTCCCGGATCACGATCGTAGCATCTAGTTATAATTTAATGCTTGTTTTTCATCCTCCCTTTAGATTTCCCATCCCAAAAGCAAATGGTTCTAACTTTCTGCCCAGCTTATATTTGAAATTACTTTTTAATAGGTGGGACAACCTATTTAAATATAATAATACTGCAATAACCAAAACAGGATTACAATTTTAAATAACCAATCAATGCATTTATTTTAACTAATTTCTTTATTAATGCAATAACAAATGGAAACTATGAATCTTAAGTTCCCTGCCACAGCAAATAGAAAATATATTATTAAACATATTTTAAGTTTTTTTATCCATATCAATTATTGCGAATCAAAAATGAAAAAAAAAAATAACCAGCGTTTAGAAAATTAAAACTATGAAGATGTTCAAAGGATCTCAGGCCTCAATAATAATAAAGTCATTTAGGCCAGTTTAACATTAAAGAAATGTCGGTAGATTTTCGACATTTGTGGAAAATGTAGTGGTCATATGTGGAGCAACTCTTTAAGCGTTGAGTCAATTACTTTATTATGTTACTTGTAAATATTATATATAATGTCATTTGTCTATGTGGTTACTAATCTAATCGCGTTCCAATATGTGGCTACCGGGCAGTACTGAGCTTACAGTTCGTACACTATTTAGTGGCGTCGTTAGTGATCTGGTACGTTCAATTTTTCTTGTCCATTCTTAAATTAGCATAGCACAAATTTACATTTAGATTGAATTTGGTCTTTCATATTTTTTAATCTCACATTTGGCCCATCTTTGTGATACTTTGCATCTCCTTAATTTGTTCATTTATGCATTGAAAATGCAATGCTTATCTCACCTAATTCTCAAACACCGCCTCTTATGAAGGTATGCATTTTTCAGAATGTTGTTAGCATATGACATTGCCTTAAATTATTGTAAACAAAGATCTTTTGACTATAAATCTAAACTGCTCATATAGATACATGCTCACAAAATGCAGGAATCTGCAAACAAACATACTCAAATACTCATTCCCAGAACAAATCAATAGGTATATAGTATCAGTGAAAATCAGTACAGGGAAGCCAAATTAAAAAAAAAACCTAAATATCATTTTAAAGGTGTCTATTTGGCAAGGTCAGTTTAAATAACTGTTTTTAATTTGATTAAAAAATATTTGATCTGTATATTTAGTGTTTATTTTTACTCAATTTGATCTCTAGGAATAGTAACTGTTAATAATGTTAAGGGTAATAATGTTATATTATTTCATTTATCAACTCCTTGTATCGCCCTTTTTCTTCCGATTCAATTGACATAAGTTAGTACAAAAGCTCCAGCGCAATTTATGCGAAAGTATTTCACTCAGTGTAAAATATTTGTTTTATTTTCGTCCTACTCATATATATCGTACAAGAAAGAATTGCTTATAGATAAATTATGTCATGTATTTTTTTATCAGCGTAGTTTTTTGTAACGTGGTCTTTTTATTGAAATGTATAGCACTATTTTAAAACAATTATTCTTTTAATATACATTTTTTTACTTATATTTTTACAAAATAAAATATTTATCATCTGGGCCTACTTTCTTAATTCCTATTACCGAAGACATCGGCAATTATTCCAATGTTCGATGCAACCGAAAAAAAAGGAGGCCATGGATAGTTTACTACTCGTGTTTTTATTTGTCAGTTGTCAGTCAGTGATTGTTTTGAAAGGTGGAGTGGTGTGTTTCGTTCTCAAAATGGAGGTAGGAAAATCATATTAATTTACTTATTTAAAGTTGCACTATGAAGGATCTATTAGAACGAGTGAGTAATAGTATATTATGCAACAAGTTTAGGGTTGGGGTTTTGGTTTTTGGGGACATTTTTGCAACAGAGCACAAATACATTCACTGAGTGGCGTGAGATATCACCGTTAGAATTGACAAACGTCAAAATGCAAGAAAACATCCGATTGATCCGAAACTTTGGTTTGTGCAGCAAACTGCTAGGAGATATGTTAGCCCATGATGGCTAATGTTATTTGTTGCATTGGTATAGCATAAGATATTGATATTGATTGATCATTATTCCTGATGTAAAACTGTACAAATTATTCCTAACACGTAGTATTTCCGCAATAATTTTCGTCCACATTTTCTTGTACTTGACGTACAATCCCCACTGCCTTAGCTTGTCGAAGTAAAGCCCGTCTTATAAGAGTTTATACTAATCATTTTTTTTGTAAACTTCAGTTGTGTATTTCTTGATTTACAATATCAAAAAATGTCAAATACCTACTGGTATTTTGACATATATATTACTTTCTTGTAAGTTAAAATACTTGATATTCCCGGAAAAAATCAAAATTTGATACTCTTTCCTTATGAATTGTAGGCTTGAGAATTTGGCTAATACCTATCTAATCTATCCAGCTAATGTATATAATTGTATAATTCTTGACCTTGTCGAAAGTCTATGATATATATTCTTTAGATCTCATTTCCTATATATGGTTCTCCAATTATATGTCATTGTGTTGACCCTGCACATCTTGTTTCTGTAAATCTGATATTCTTTTTCCCAATTCCTTGAATATAATATATTAAACTATTTTTTTTTTTTATCAAAAACACAAAATACCACTACAGGGCCAAATGCTAGAGAATGCAACATTTTTGCCCTAAACATTCAAAATGCCTTTTTTGAGGTACTATAAAATGCTTATAATTACGAACAGTGAAAAAGGGTTCTTTCTCTAATTCTCTAAACGAATTTGAAAGATTTTCCCCAACTTGGCTAAGTATGAGTTTTGAGCAGGCTACGTTTTTATGTACCCACAGGGCAGCAATTTGAGTATTACCATAACGTGAGTAGCCCATTAGTATATCTGATGGTTTTTTTATTCCTTATAACAGTTGATTTTCAACAAATATGCACATACGGATTTATCATAAAATTAGAATTATACAAAAAAATTTTTATTTTAAAATTCCAACCTGTAAGGAGGATCAAATTTCCGACCTCATAAAATGCAAAAAATTCGCGTATTCACCGTTTTCTCTAAATGGATTTGGTTTAACTACCTAAAAAAAAATTATGGTTTAAAGCTTATAGTCACACATTGGTTCAAACCAGACACCAAATTTTTTTACTGGAACTCCCTATATATTATCACATTTTTGGATTCTATGAAAAATTCTTCTGTTTCTATGTAACACATGTCGTAGATTTCTTAAGCTGTTTTAGATCTTTCAGATAATGATTGATGTCAAAATAGATGTCTTTCTAGTGAAATAATCATTTTTGCATAATCTACAAGCCAAAACAACGCACAATAGGCATGGTTGCCTGACATTTCCCCAAAATTTCATTTATCACTTAAGTGCAGACATGCATAAGTGACATGATCGCGTATGGCGTATTAACGGGCCTATGTTTGGTTGGAACATTGGTTTTTGAAATAAAAAATTCTTTATCGTAATAGTTATAATAATGTATACTCACAATACACAGTATTTTTTGCAATATGTACAAAATTTACACAATATATAGACATCACAATGTTCCCTAGATTATCATTTTGTAACGCTGGCTAAATTGTACTTACAGCTAAATACACTGTACAGAACATCTTAAACTGAACTTAAAAAAGCTTAAATTATTGAAATAAAACTATATATTCACATATATTTTACAGTGTAATAAAAAAAGAACTTTTTATAATCATAATATATGCTACATATTTATATTTATGTCTATCTGCTTTTTTTGTATTTATAAATAGCCATAATTTCAAACTACAAGTTGGGTAACGTTTAAATTTAAATATTTTACAGCCCAGAAAAGGCTTCGAGGTTAAGTTGCTTTAAATATTGTGTGAAGTTCAAACCTTTCGTACAAAATAAACTAAAAAAATATACATACATATAGCATATATATATATATATATATATATATATATATATATATATATATATATATATATATATATATATATATATATATATATATATATATATATATATATATATATATCCAACAAAAAAAAAAACTCGAAACTATGACTTTGGTGTACGAACGGTAAGAACGTGAAACAAATAATTCGAACAAGTTCATCTGATGGACGTAAATGTTCGACATATTTATCTCTTATTAGTAATAAATAAATAATCAACAAGTATCAATGTATAAAAATAAATCTCTGTGCAACCAAACCTCAAAGTTTTTAAACGAAAACGGTACGAAACTTACTAAACCGAGAAAGGAAACTCATACAACATCTTTACAAATATTGCAAGGATATTGTATTCATTTTTAACATGGTCCCACCAAAAATTGAGTGTGGCAAATTTGTCGGCATTTTTTCTCAAACTCTTTAATATTTCTAACAAAATTGACACGCTGAACCTTTAGTGGATACTCACGTTATTAAGTAATTTACAAGATATTTATGAAAAATAAAGATCTTCTAAACAAGAAAAACACGTTATATATGTATAACTAAATTCAAATATGAGATCTCTTAATTAGGTAAGTTATTTTTTAAAACTTTTTAAAATTTATTTTTAATAATAGTAATAACGTTTTGTCAAGAAATCACAGTGAAACTTTTTTTAATAGTTAAGTAATGTGTACAAATCGTCTAGTCGTGATTTAATAGATCTGAGATAAACGACAAAAGTTGGTTTGGCTTAGGCATGGTGACAAAATTTGATGCTGGAGACCAAACTAGGTGTCTGTTTTACAGAAAAGATGAAAAATTTAGAGTCCAACAAAAAAAAAACGGGAAGCTAGGTGTCCTGATCACACAGTTGTAATTACAATTAGTAAGTGGGCAATGTCTGCTACTCTTTCAAGGAGACTTGGAGCTATCCTTCTTAAGTTCTCATTAACAAAATCACATGAAGGAAAGATGTGTATAACATAAGCAGGCTGAAATATAAAAGAAATTAGTGTTATTATTGGCTTTCATAAAATGGGATAAAGTTATGATAATTTTATTGTCATATATATTACTTACAGGTTGTGTAGTTCCAGGTGCAGCAACATTTACAATACCAGCTGCCTGTTTCTGTTGCAAATAAGTGATAAATCCGTTAGTCAAGTTTGTAGATTGTTTAAGTACATCCATGTGGTCGTGACCGCAGGGTAGAGCGAGGAGCATGCAGTGCTCATTTTCCATCTGAAAAATAAAAATTTACTAATATTTGAGATGTTAATAATTCAATACTAGGAGAGAACATCAACAAGTTCGATTCATCGACAACCGTCGCTCCCGCACAATCCAGAAGTAACCAAAACTGTCTATACCTTACCTGCATCTTTCTAGCTACACCCTCAACCTGTGGAGGTTCCAACCTCATCCTCTGAAATATTCTTAATGGTGGAGTAGATTCATCTGGATTTTTAGGCAAACTGCATTTTGCCACATCATCGTTACCCGATACAGAATACATTTGCACAGCCGCCTGATCATTTTTCAGCGCCAGCAGCCCTTGCCACATCAGTGGATAATGCTAAACAGAAAAATAAAATATGAAACAAAGATTTTCTACCTGTGAAATACCTAAATGTACCTTTAACAACATAAACAAGCTTTCAGCCTGTGGTGGAACTTGACTAGCATGAGGTGGAGTCGCAGCCTGAAGGCCTCTTTGACTAGTCGGCGCATCTGCGCCTATGTGCTTCGCTACAGCTCCCATCAAATTACCAGCAGCGCCCAATCCTGCTCCCATTACACCATGGGGGCGTTCGATATACGCTGCCATACGCTCCGTCGCACTCATATTTCCCATATGGGTGGAAGATATAGAGTGGGCACTTAGGGGTCGATCCTCTTGTAAATGGCTACTCAAAGATCTATCAGGTGTTCCTAGTGGAGCCATGTGGGCAATTCCTCTGTCGCCAGGAAGAGCAGCCAGAGAACTGTGGCTAGTAAGAGGTCGGTGTGCTGGAGGTGGTTCCGCTTGATCAAAGTAGCGATTATTCGGATGGTATGGCGTTAAGCGTGCAGTATGTGATAATGTATTGTAAACTTGTCCCATTTGGGGAGACTCTGCAAATAAACAACATTTCACCTCTGGATTTACCTAAGAAAATGTGGCTCTCACCTGTGGCACGGTCATGAGGTGAATGTAAACTATGAGGCACAGCTGCTCCCCTAACACCGAGAGTCAATCCAACAGGGGCTTCTTCGCCTTCTTCCCCTGTTTTTTCAAGAACAGCAGACCTGGAACAAAACGGTATTAGATGGAAGACAAAATTTACTGCAAAACAACATTACCTCTGCAAATGTTGTTGTTGTAGCTGCTGCTGCCGCAAAAATTGATGGTACTGTACGACATGAGTCGGATGCATATAGTGAGCCGGGTTGAGATCTGGAGGTCGCAACGGTCCCGGTGGAAAAATCGGCTCACCCTAAAACCAAAGGAAAACGTGACAATTATTCCAAAAAAAGTAGAAGAAAGGGCCACTAGATTTCACGAAAGTTAATACGAATTAAGTAGAACATTGAACATGTAATCACCTTGGGAGAAGGGGAATTTTGATGAGCCGGCGGAGGGCTCCGACTTCTATTCAAAAATGTTCGAGCATCTCCATGCTGCATGTTAGTAAAAATTTTAAATTAGTAAGTGATTTCTTGACTTAAAAGAATTTAACTTACCAAACTGGCTTCATAACCAGGAACAGGCAGTCCCGGTAGTCGAGCTTGAGACCCTTGTGGGCTAAGGTTAGGTCGTCCTAATATCACATTGGGTAAATTCACATCAATTTTTGGTGGCTCCATAACGCCCTTATTTGCAGCACTCGATGGCCCTTGTATAATTCTTGCTGCGGTTCCAACAGGTGCCTGTGATTTGCTCAATGGTGGACTGGCAACTTGACCAGTTAGAATTTGCTGCTGGTGCATTGGATGTGGAGCCTTTGTGATAGATCCTTTTCCAATTATAACTTGGGGCTGCTTCAACGGTTGCTTCATATGAGCGATTTGTGCGTTTACAATTTGCGCTTGTTGTGACAGAGCAGCACTAATGTGAGCTTTTGGAACTTGCAAAGATGGTGGTTGTTTATTGATTTGGATAAACTGCTTCTGACTAGTCAATAGAATTTGTTGACTGGGCGAAAGTATAGGAGGTTTCACTTGTAATTTTGTAGCGACAACTGGCATGGCGGGCCTTGGTGAGATAGGGCTTGATGATGAAGCAATTGATGCGGCAACAATGTGAACATTTTGACTTACGGGGATAGATTTATTTTGTACTATGGGAGTAATTGGTTTTGATATAACATGTTGCTGCTGTTGCGATTGTGACAACACTGTGGTTGTTATGGGTTTGCTTTGTATTGGCTGATGCGATATAACAGCCTTTGCTACTTGAGATGACAGCACACGGGCCTTGAACGGATGAATCTTAGGCATCTGCTGCTGAACAACAGTTACTGACTGAGGCTCAGTGATCACACTTTGTTGACTTTTAACAGGCTCGCTCATTTTAACCTCTTCTTTAACAGGTTCCGGTTGATTTGGAGGTGTAGAGGGTTTCATAAGCACAACCTTTTGTTCATTACCAGAGCTACTACCAGGAAGCGGAATATACTTTCCTTCCTCGCTTTCTCTCATTGGTATTAAAAGGCCGGTAACAGGATCTATAAGATTAGTGGGTTCACTTTTAGCAGAGTTTGACAATTCACCTTTAATGCGCCTTAACATAGCAGCTTTTAGTCCCTCAAATGGTTTTTCCTTAACTTGCTCAACTTGCTGGGAGATAGCAACATTGGGTTCTTTTAGTTTTTCTGCAGCTGATGCACTTATTGGGGATAATTCTACAGACTTCGGACGTTCATCTTTTACAGTTTCTTCAGATGATGAATTTTCTGTCGCTTCAGAAGCCCGACGCGGCTTTCTACCCCTCGGAGATTTTCTGGGAGTTTCCGCTTGGGGGAGCGTTAGTGTTTGAGTTTTATTAACAACTTGCCGACCGGATCTTCTCTGGTTTGATGCTCGGGTTTGCGGAGCATTCTTAACAACATCTTCAATAATGTCGTCAACAGAATTCTTAGAAATATCTTTTTCTGCAAGTCTTCTTGATTTTCTCGTATTTGATTGCGGAGATGTAAATTCTTCCTTGTGTTCCAAAGGTTGCTTGGTGGACAAGGTTTCTTTTGGATTTTCTTTAACTTCTTTTCCAATTTCTTTTGTTCCATCTTTGGTTATTTCTTTAACTATAGCTGTTGGTTGGGAGTTATTAGTACTGGAGGCAGTGGATTTAATTGTCAAAACCAATCTGGGCCTCTGTTCCTTGTTGCTTTCTTCAGACTCTTCTTTAAATTCATATACGTCTGTTGAATCAGATTCTGATTTAAGAGCCGTTCTGTCACTTCTTGTGCGACCACCGCGACCACGTTTTGTTGGTGTTGTCGACACGTTCGACATCTCTTTCAGTTTGCCTTGTCGAGTTTGAATCCCACCTCTTTCCACGACAGTTTTGCCTTTGCCCCTTCGTCCGCCGCGACCCCTTCCTCGGGTAGTGCTCCGGGTAGAAGGTGTCCTTGGTTCATCGTCGTGTTCTGTAGTAACTGATTTTCCCTCCCCCGGCTTTGTTTCAGTTGAACTCTCGTTTGCACTGTTGGCAGTTGTTTCGATTGACTCGTCACGTTTATCCTCGGCATGTTTTGAGTCGAGTTCTTTGTATTTACCACTTTCGCTGCCGTGATCGGACATTTCGTCCGCTGAACATAAAGTTTTGATGACTGAATCAATGTTCACTTCCTTTGCAGACCAATAATCATTATCCTCTTTAATATCCAAAGAATCTTCTTTGGAAATATCTTTTTCTACGTAAGAAGCAGTTTCTTTGAACAGGTTAGTATTTGTAGCTTCGGTTACTTTATTATCTTTAGAGTCGATGAGAGCTTCCAGCTTATCTTGTGGATTTGGATGTTTATCTGTAGTTTTCAGTTCTTTGACGGGTAGCCCTGCTGACGATTGAGTGGACGATTCTTCTTTTTTAATAAGATGCTCTGATTTTTCTGTGGTACTATCTGAATTGTCTTCTGGTTTGCTTGCTTCAGTAACTTCCTCCTTTTCTTCTACTATCTCTTTGGTAAGAGAGTTGTTTAACTCCTCTGTCACTTTTTCAATTGCCAATTTAACAGGCGAAGCAGGTTTATATTCGGAATTATTTTCTGACGATAATGGATTTGACACAATAACTGGACTTGCATTAGAAGTTTTTGGAGTCTCTACTGTTGGTATTGACAGCTGATCTAATTCTTGAAGTGGTTTAACACCGGACAATTCCGACACTGCTGTTTTACACGCACCTTGCAACATTACGGAGGAGTTTGGCCTTTCTATTTCTGTAGCTGGCGCACCAATGGAAACTTGCGGTTCATTAATAACTGATACAGACTTTGGACTTTGACGAGGAGCAGAAGTTAAATAATTGTTAGTCGAACTTGGTGCGCCCACTGATTGACTCATTGTAAGTAAAGGTCTAGAGCTGACAGGTACCGGAGAAAGATTTGGCTTGGAGCACGTCAAGATTATTTGATGTGAAATTGTTCCAGAGGTGACTGGAGGTTTAGTAGTGCTAATGGTAGGAAGCGAACTGGTATTACCCGACATAATTATGGTGGGTTTAATGGGGCTATTAGTCAAGCACGTTGGAACAGGCTGTGATATTTTTATATCCTCTTGTTGCTTTTTATCCAAACAGTGAGGGTGGAGTTCTTTAGATACTGGCACATTGTTGTAAGTGCCATGCGGAACATTCCCCATATACGCATATCCGGGCGCCAAATGCCTGGTAGGAACAAGCAGCCCTGTTGGTGGTAAATGTCTAATATTTCCTTGAAGAATCATATGTCCCGGCTGCCTGGGTGGAAAAGTGCTAAAAGGCACTGAAGAGGTTTGAAATACCATTCGCGGCTGAGTTCTCATTTCTGAGGAAACTGAAACTAATTTCGGTGGTTCCATTGAGTGTGCCACCTTAGGCTGTGGCAATAGTACAGTCGTTGTTTGCAAAGGCTTGGATACCATCACCGATGTTATTGGCAGCCTACTCAAGTTGATATTGCTTGATGCTTTAGGTGATAGCATATTGTCCTGTCCAACTGGTTTGCAAATTTGGACAGGGGAGCGAGCAGGTAAATTATGAAGCTGGGATACAGAGGTAGATTTTGCATTAGTGGTTTGCACAGGCTGTGCTTGAATTTTTTGTTCTAATGAAGGAGATAATTTCGTTATCGCAGCAAGAGGTGGATAATTTGCTTCACTGATTTTTATCGTAGGAGGTGTAGCAAATGACTTTAATACAGGAGGGTTAGTCGATATTTGACTAATAACAGGTGGAACAGATAGTTTGGTTTCAGTCAGTGGCAATACATCTTGCTTTGGAATAATATTTTCTGACTTTCTTTCTACCCATGACTGAGACTGAGAAATAACTGATCTCTGCTGTTGGTCTGGGACAATCGATATAGTTTTATTCGGTTCTTCCAAATTCTTCTTAGTTTCAATTACTGTCAATGGTTGCGTTTTAATAGGTGTCAGAGATGGTGGGCTACTAATATTCGGCGTTGTCCTGAAGTGAGAAGTTTTACTAGTCTCCAATAATTGAATGCTTTCTTGAGCTTTTTGTTGCTGAGTTGTATTCGCGCTCTCTGGACTTTTGGCGACTGACTCTACAATTGATGGTTCATCTTGTTCCTCGGTATCTGTATCAATTTGAAGCTCATGTTCACTCTGGGGAGTATCTGGTTTAACATCTAAATCTGAAACGCTTAGGCTTTGCACAGCTTGCCTCATTTCTTCGTCATCTTGTACATTATTTTCCTCTGAAAGTGTTGGTCCGACATCGGCAGGGTTACTTATTTCGTCAGAGTATCGTTCATTAAATTGGCCATTACCAAAACTCTCACCTAATAAAGCAGCCACAGCATCTTCAGTTTCTTCTTGCGAAATCACAACCCTAGGTTTGTCTTCAATTTGCTCTTCCAACTTTTCTTCTTTTATTTCTTCCTTAATTACAGGTTCTTCTTTTTTAATAATAGGTTCAAAATCCGTTGAAATAGATTTAACTGCGTTTTCATGAATGGTTTCGTCAATTTCTGTACCAAATCCTGGTAACAATTTTTCAGGTTTCTTCTCCTTTGATGTAGTCGGCGTCTTTGGTAGAGGGCTTACCATCTGTATACTCTCTTTAGTCGAGGGCGAAATTGTAAATTCAGGTGCTAGTTTTTCCATAATAGGACTAGTTGCGTCGAGTATTGTTGGCATACTTTGACTCTGACATTTCATTTCAGTTAATTCTTTGATTTCTTCCACAACTGGTTCTTTCTTAATTTCAGGGGATTTTATCTTATTTTTATCATGATGATGGTGGTGGTGATGTTTACTCCTTTCTTCTTTACTTCTCTTCCGCTTCTTTTTCTTTTCGCGGCTTTCTTTGCGCTCGTCTTTCTTAGTTTCATTAGTTTGGTTATTAAAACAAAACATATTTGTTTCAATATTCAGATTGTCCAGTTCTGATTTGATTTCTATTTCAGATGTGTCGTCCTTTATGTTAGCCTCTAACTGCTTACCCATATCTATAAAGTCCATGCTGTTATCGTTGCTATGGGGTGGTTCCTCCGCAGCAGCAGCTGCAGCCTCAGCAGCCGCTTCCTGCAAGCGTCTCTCCTTTTCTCGTCGCTTTTTCTCTTTTCTTTTCTTATGCTCCTCACGTTCATTTTCTCGATCTCTATCCTCCTTAATTTTGCTATCATGTTCCTTTTCAGAGTCTGTATTAAATGAATGAGGCTGCTGAGCATTTTCATCTATCAAATAAGAAAGTTTATTTATCATTTGGCAAGTAAGTTCTTTAAGGCCATTTTCGGAATCTTCCGAGAGTGGACCGAATATGTTCTCCATTTTGCCGTCGCTTTTAATTTCGTTTTTTCCCTCAGACTTATTTTTCTTCGATTTCTTAGATTTTTCACGACCTTCTCTAGTTTTATCCCGTTTCTTATCCTTTCTGGAATGATCTTTTTTCTTATCGTGATGTTTGGTACGATCTTGATTTTCACCTTGAGCTGAGTCCATCTCAGTTTTGTTGGGCGCTTCATCATTAAGGTAATGTTTTTGTTTCTTTTGTTTCTTTTTATGTTTCTTTTCTCTTCTCTCGGATTTTTCCTTTCTCGTTTCAGGAGTTGTTTCGTCATCGGAGGTTTCAAATATTGGTTTGTTATATTTTTCCACTTTAACTTCCCTCTCAGGAGAATGAGATTCCCTGAAAATTTGATTTTCAGTAGAATGAAATTCCTGAAATTTGCTACTGCGTCTTTCCTTTTTAATTAACCTTTCTAGCTCGGTTTTAACAGATGTAATTTTTTCAGGTTTTTCGTCAGTATCAGCGAAGCCTTGGTCATTTTCGTTTTCGGAAAACATCTTGGACATATCGGAATTAACCTTTTTCTCGTGAAAATCTTCAGATATTATTTGGCTGCACAGTTTGGGCTTCTGGTATTCGTCATCTGAGGTATCACTAGTTATTCGAGATTTGCAGACTTTATAGGCTACTTTATTTTTTATTTCATCGTCGGTAGTTTCGACTGGTTCAGACTTAATTTGTCTAAGCATGGAAGAATCTGAATCTGAGTAAATTTCTCGGCGTTTGCTAGATTTTCTATCCTCACTTTCATCGGAGCTGTCCAAAACTTTTCTGCTTCTCCTAGGCTTCACCTCAGAGGATTCTTTACCAGATTCAGAATCTTCATCCCAAGATGTTGATCGCTTTTTCTCTTCTCTGCGAGCTCGACTCAATTTTAGTTGACTGAATTTTGCTTTTATCTTCTCTTGTCTCTTCTCTTCTTCTTGTTTTTGCATATTTTTGCAACTTCTTGCTTTAACTTTGTCATACATTGAAATATAAGCTGGCTCGTCATCAACAATATCAAAAATTGAGTGTTGTTTCTTTGGTTCATCAGAATCACTGTCAGATGTGGTAATTTTGCGACTTTTTTCCCTCTTAAGGTGTTTTTTGTCTTCACTGGGTTTTAATTTAGCATCTTCGTGTGATTTATTAGTTTCTTTGGAATCTGTGCTGATCCGGTCCTTCTTTTTACTTTCCTCATTATTACGTTTTTCGTTATCCAGTGCTGCCTCTTTACGTTTTTCTCTATGCTCCTTTCTTTGCTTTTCTCGTTCTACTTCTTCCGTTGATCGCAAGTTTAATTTCGCTAAAAAATCTTTATCAGTAAGTGTAGTAGTCGTCTGTAAAATTGGTGACTCCCTGGAATCTTTTTCTCGACTTTTCGTTTTCGATTTTTGCTTTTCCAGCTTGTGTCTTTTGTGTTTCTCCTCGCGCTCCCTTTCTTTTTCTTTACGTTTCTCATCGCTCTCTTTTGTACTGTTGCTGTGTTTCTCGTGGGTGGTATTTATGGAATTGTTTTTATGTTTACTTTTCCTTTGTTTATCTTCCGACTTGCAGCTGTCTTTTGAATCTCGCCTCTCCGACATTTTCTTATGTTCGTGACTTAGTTTAACACGCTTTTCTTCTGGAACATCGACGCTGTCATGTGAACTCATCCTCCTTTTGACTCCCAAATTAGCGGGTAGGCTGTTATTTCTTTCTTTTCGTTTGTTGGGATCTTTATCGCATGTTCGATTTTTGTCAGAATCGATCGATGTGTGCCTAGTTTCAACTATCGCTCGATCTCTGTGTTCTTTGGTTTCTGTCAAGTTTTTATGTCTGTCGTGAACATTATTATCTCTATTCTCCTTTATGCTTTCCTTTCGTCGTTCAGTTTCTCTATCCAAATGGTACCTAACTTTATCGTGGCGAGAATTTTCGTGATGAGAATCTCGCCGGTGCAATTCGTGACTCGATTTGTCATCCTTACCGGATTCTTTGGTAGTTTTGTCGTGGGCGTGTTTATCAATATTGTTCTCCCTGTGTTTATTTTCACTGTGACTTTCTCGATGTTTGGAATCGTCTTTTCTCCTGTCGTGATGATTGTCCTCTTTATGACGGCTCTTCTCCTCGTCCTTTTTCCTCTCCTTTTCCTTCTCCAATTTCTCGGTTTGTTCCTTAACTTGTACCTCTCGCTCTTCCGTCTCTCTTCGTTCCGCTTCCTCTTTCTCTTTCTTCAACTTTTCTTGTTTCTCTTTCTCCTCAGCTTCTCGTCTCTCTTTTTCTATCCTTTCAATGCGCTCCCTTTCCTCCCTATCTTTTCTTTCCTGTTCTTTTTGGCGCTCCCTTTCAAGCTTCTCTTGTTCCTGTTTTTCTTTTTCATGTCGTTCTTTTTCCACTTTTTCGCGTTCTTGCCTTTCCTTTTCCAACCTCGACTTTTCCAAGCGATTTTTTTCCAGCCTGTTTCTCTCTTTCTCTTTTTCTAGCTTTTCTTTGTGAAATCTTTCTTTTTCCAATCTCTGTTTTTCTAATTCACTTTCCCGTTCCTGTCGTTCTCTCCGTTCTTGATGTTCACGTTCCAAACGGTCAGCTTCTTGCGCGTCTTTTTCCACTTTTTCGCGCTCGACTCTCTCTTTTTCTTGACTTTCCCTTTCAAGTTTCTCCTGCGCTTCTCTGGCCTTTTCCGCTAGACGATGTTCTCTTTTCTGTTCTTCACTTTTTCCACGTTCTTGAACATCAAGTTTCTCATCCTCTATTCGTCGGGCACTAGTATCACTATTCCTACGTGTTTTAACGTCAGCGCGGGGCGAACTACTGTTAGAGTCCCTACGACACATAATTTTATCAGTTTTGTCTGACGGTTTCACTTTCAGCACACCCGACGTCGCGCTACCGTCGCTAGCGTTTGGAATGTTGTTCTTTTCACTTAATTTCGAAAGCGTCGGCAAAACTACAGTATTCCTAACTACATTCACTTTAGTGCTACTAGTTCGTACGTCACCGGGAACGCTAGCGCACGGCTTCAGTCTATTTTCGCCGAGGGTCGCGGTCCGCACGGTGACCGTACTAGTCGATGACGTAGGCGTGACGGATGTTGCAGTTGTCACAATTCCGGACGCTGCTACTTGCAAGGCTGGTACCGGGGACATCTGTATCGGAGGGTGGCTGGGAAAAGGGTACTGGAGACCTTTCGCTGCCGGAATAGTCGTGGCTCCTGAAACAAATTAGAATCATTTGGTATGACATTTAAGCTGACTTTACATGGACTAAAATTTCTTAAATGCTCATCGCACATAGTGCAACTGTTGGTCTGTGTTATTGTTGTTGCGAGACAAATATTGTAAACCGAATTAATTGCGATTCGCTGGCTACTAGGACGGTAAGGTTTTGATCACATTCTGAATATTCAGTCTCTAAGGGCTAAATCATGATAGGCAAAATAACAACCATCCAAATATAACTGGGATCACAAACACAGGCATATCGGAAGAAGAAGTGAAACATAGGTGCAACATGGCAAACGTAGCTGTGTGGAGTGACCAACATCTGGAAAGACTGCCAAATTTCAAGAGCCATCAAAAATCGGCTAGTCGACTGTCTTGTACTCCCAATATTGACGTATGGCTGCGAATCGTGGACTCTCGGATAGACGGAATGTAATATGTGTTGTACATACATTCCATATCCCATGGACTGAACGCCGTAAAAACATCTCCATTATAAATGAACTTAATATTACCAACAGGCTTTCCACTAAAATCAGACTAAAACAACTAAAATATAAAACTCATAATTCAAGGCTAGATACAGGGACGTAGACCACGTTGCCGCTCTCTGACGAGATGACAAAAGACAGAAGCATATTGAAAAAAATCATCTATGCTGTTACGCTGACGACCACACTCCCTAATGGCGGTCAGGACTGAAGAGAGAGAGAAGAGCTACGCAAGGTAGCTTGCGTCGCTATATAATAGGAAATGTGCCTTTCTAGGTTGTTTGCTTCCGCCCCTTGTTGCACTGCTTTTTCTACCATGTCTCTCTTTGATTATTCAGGCATTTTATAGTTACAGATTTCTTCTTCTTCGTATTTGCCCACATATTTTACGTTGGTTTGCGGATCCACAATATTATACTGTATACTGTTGGAGAACAATTGCAAGCTTAACAGATTTCCAACTTTTTTTTGAAAACGGTCATAGCGTGGGCAGTGAGCAGCTTTGCATCACTGTACGTTTGTGTTTGATTACAATGCAGACAAGTTTTACACTGTAGAATTCGTTATAAAAATTCTAAAGGATCATTAAATAAAAATCGTAAAAAGACGATACGACAGGAACAACTTAAGTATATATACCGATGGGATGGTTTCTTTTATTTTTTTCATTTGAAAGCAGTCATCGGGTTCAATAGATAAAGTAAATCGTACATGGCTTTTGTTGTATACCAGTTTGTGAAGTTCATGTAGGACCAAAAAAAACAGCGCTGTGGTTCTTATTTCGGATTATCTAGTTAAGCTCTTACTCTTGTTCTATCAATAGTACGTAATGTTATAGATTTGATCACAAGACATTCACCAACGAAAACTTACAACACGTTTATCGTTTATTGTCCAACGGGCAAATGCTTACCTGAAGATCTGGGTGATAACAAGGTGGGAGTTTTGGGCAACTGCGTCAGAGGCGCCAACTTCAGCGGCGTCGACAGTGGGCTAGTTGTAGTTACGGCCGTGGCCAAAGACGCGACCCTGTTGTTGAACAAAGTGAATTCCTTTGGTTCGTATTTCTCGCCCACGTTTTCCAACCGTTTCAGGTCTTCGTCGAACACCGAACGCTTGGCCATCACAGATTTGACTATTTCCGACGGCTGAACTTCGTTCAGGTCGAGATCCAACAGTTTGTGCCTCTGCCTGAACTTCTCCAAATTCGCGTCCAATAGGGCTAAAGCCTCGCCGCCGGCGGCGCTTATCGCTCGCGAACCCGACCACTTCTCGTATTTTTCATCCAAAGATCTTATTCTTTCTTCTAATGACGCGCTAGGCGACGTGATATCGCTATCGCTCGAATTGGAACTCAGACTCGGCGGTCGAGGCGGCGGCGAAGCTGGTGGAGGAACGTGTACGGGACTAGGCGGACGGTTAGATACCCGGGGACTGGTCGATGTGGCGGGTGGACTAGATAAAATGCTCGCCGTATCTTTTTGACCTTTGATGCCTGCTACCGAAACGCTTCCTGCAAAGAAAATGACGACTTATTAAATTATCATTTATTAATTTATTATTAAAAAAAACTAAAATTGATAGACAAAATTCACTTTGAGACAACAATATTAACCCCTTCATAGAATCTGCTACAACATGAAAATGTTAAGCATTAAGCATAGTGACGTTCGCTAGTCATTATGGGAATGTTCTCTATATATAAAAATGGAAACAAGAAGAATAGGAACAAGAATTAACCAATAATTATAGAGTATTAGTGCCATCCTCCCAATCGCAACCACAATAATAAAAGATAAAATAGAACAACATTTGGTCGACTTGAATAAAGAACAGTGAGGCTTCCGAAAAAGCAGGTCATGCCTGGACAATATATTTACCATGAAAAGAACCAAGCCATTGAAATATATATGACATTTATAGACTTAGAAAAAGGATGACACTGTCTCCAAGAAGCAACTATGGAAAATTATGGAAAGAGTGAACATTTTAGACCACAGATAAAAATAGTCAATGAATTAACGGGCAACAGTAGACACAACAAGAGGACTAAAACGAGAATACCTATCACAAACACTTTTAAATATATGTAACGCGTATATCCAGGTTTTACAGGAAGGATAGGTATACCAGCACAGGGAAATCGTGGATGATCAAGATATTTCTGCAGAAGAAAGCTGAAAGTAGAATAGGAATATGGGTAAAACTGAATAATGTACTAGACTCTAGCTGCCAAAATTTTAAGTATTTAGGATCGATAATACACCGAGATGACGGTTTAAGAGATATAAAGACAAAAGGATGAGAGAAACAAGCCACATGGATTGCTATGGAACAATGTCCTGACAAATGAAAACAAGAAATAATCTTTCAAAGCATTGTATAGCATAGTATATGGAGCAGAAGGGTGGCCACTGACAATAACAAGAAACAAAATGAGAAGGTAGAATTGTATTATATGAGAAGATGCCTATAAGTCAGAATCGACAAAACAAGAACTGTAAAATGCTCAATAACAAAGAAACTAGAAAACGACCAGAACTAAGATGTATGTTTCCCACATTAGACATGAGACTAGGGGACTGAAATCCAAGAGATCAGTGGAGGACTAGAACGACGAACTCGTAATATATAAATCTGTACTTGTCGTAAACTTTAGTGTTTGTGATCCAGACCCAATTTAAAGTGCGAGGTTTTGTATAATAGATGGAGCTTAAATGTATACACCTATTCTATGCCTAAACTTAAAATATACCAAATTACAATGGTATTTTTTGATAGCGATTAAGCTTAAAGTGAAAAATTTGTGACAGCAGTCAGAAGAATTTGTCAAAAGTGCAGTTAAACGTAGTTAATTAGTAATTAGCGTTAACCCTTCGGTTGAACCCAATTACCTCGATTCATAATTTGGGCTGCGAACTTCGGTAGGGGCAGCGTGAGTGGTCCTTCTCTATCCCTCGGCGTCCTTCGAGGTTCCGCTTGAGGGAATTCCGGTTTTTCGTCGCACAATGGAGTACCCGGTCTCGAACCACCGTTTTCCGATCCGTCCGATGGTTCGGCGAGCGTCATAACGTAATGGGAGTGAGATATCGCGGTCCTGGAGCTGCCTCCGTCGCTGGCCGTCTTGCGCCTCTTGCAGCCTACCGCGTGGGGGACGTAGTGGCCGGACGAGGACACGTGATCTTTGTACTTCGAATCGACCGACGGACGTCGCGAGTGGTGCCTCAAAGTTGTTTCGGAAAGGCGCCTTACTTCCATTACCTACGATTTCAAACGTTCACGTTTAACCAAATCGCGATCACTATCATCAAGCTACTTAAATCAATATTAATTATGCTTCTCCTCTCTGAATATGTACCTTTACCTTTCTGTGATCCCTGTTCGCTTCGATGATAACGTCGCTCGTTAAGACGGGATCCAGCAAATCTAATTTCAACCGTTTCTTTGGACTGATCAGCTCGTCGCCGGAACTCGGACATTCCTCCAGCTGTTCGAGGAGGTGGACGCGTTCCTTTTGCAAGTTTCGGATGTCGTGGGGCGCGAAAGGTACGGGGTCCACCAGGGTCTGCACGACCCGTACCTGGTGATGTAACAATTCGTACTTATTAAATGGAACAGAAATAAAAGTTAAAATTCGGCGGGCAATCGTCGCGGGTGAATCGCTCACCTCCAGTGGATCTAAATGTCCGGGACTATCGTGAAGATACGCCCCGTGTGGATCGTACGGATCGTATGGGTCTTCGTGCGACGCGGCCGAACCCTGACTGTACTCATCGTAGCTCCTGTGCGAGATATGCCTGTCTCCGGGTATGTACTCCATATCGTAGTAGTCGTACCGGGACAGTCGGGACCGACCACCACGCGGTGTCATGTTACCGGGCGTTCCCGGCGACTGTATGGCGGCAACGCTTGATCTGCTACTGTACGACGACGTTCGCGGTCTTGTGGGCGTATCGTATCTGTTAGGAAAATACCTACAGCGTCCGCTAATCGCTTGGGTTCGTATGGGATTTTTTATTCTTTGCCACGCGGTTTAGAAAAGTTTGCGAAACAGAGTTGCGCTGAACACAATTACAACACTTCAAATGATTCCTGCCAATGTTCTCACTGATTCATATAATAGCATAAGACTTGTAGAAAATAATTAACCTCTAAAGTGGTTCATTCCGTCATATATATACATACGTCTTGGACATAGTGAAGATACTATGTTAACAAAAGTAATATTGATGATATGTTTAACATATTTAGTCAATTTAGGTCAATTTCTTTCGTCTGTCGTACGTCTGTGTCAAGCATGCTGCCGGACAAAGTCCAGTATGACAGTCAGCACTCCAATACCTGTTCTCTTTCCTTTTCCTATTTTCGGAACATACTGCACGACGTTTTGTGGGCTTTTTTTTTCGTAGTATATCTGGGAAATGTTGTGGGGAAATGCGTTGGTCTCGGTATTTTCGGTTTCCTTCTCTTTCTGTGGAATATTGTTCTACCATTTGTTCTCCCAAATCTAAGAGAATGTTAAGACGTTTTTTTCGTCCTCTTAGCTTTTTGTATAAAGTAAATTAATTAAAAAAAACCACATCCAAAAAATGTTTAAATGTTTTCATATAATACATTTTTAAGCGACATCTTGTCGATGCGATGCATTTCTTTATCATTTGTTTTCTTCCTGTATATTGCAATATGATTTCCTTTTTGCAATTTTTTAGATTTTATTTCAGTTGGAATTCCATTTCTATTTACTCTCGTCGTTCCAAATCAATCTCTTCGTCTTTTTATTACTTTATCAGTAAGATCGAGACTGGTATAATAATTATCAAGGTATAAACAACAACCCTACTAGATACAGGTTTATCAGGGTAAATGGAATTCCCATACTGGGTACTGGGAATCCATGAACAACATTCTCTAGCTAGCCTTTCCACCCAATCATTGATTCGTCAATGGAAATTTTTTTGATTACGAACATAAATACTCATAAACTTTAAGTGATCCAAAATCGGCTTAATTTTGAATAATCTTCGGTTTGGTGAATTAGCATTGAACTCCTTGTTTATAAAATGCAAAAATTTGAGCAGCAGTTGAGAGCGTTTTTCACAAAAAATTTCAAGAAAAAAATGGTGTTTTGATGGTCTCTCGTTTGGTAAAATATAATTTATACTCTGGCTTATGCAGATTCCCTGAAAAATAAGAAGAGCCAACAAAGTTCTTATTTTTTTATATTTTCTTTATTATGGTTCAGATACCGCTCCGCATAACGATTTGTTTCAACAACGATTTTATTTATAAGTTCGTCGGTAAAAAAGCATTCAAACAGTTGGATAGGGTTATCTTTGTTCAAATTGTCAAGCTTTATACTAAAATGGCCTTGAAAAAGAAACGCTGGACGAGGGATCTAGAAAAAGTCCATGTCGGTTGGGTCTGGTATTTGGAAAGGTCGAATTTCGTCTTCATCACTGAAACTACTTATGTCACTAAAGTTATCTTTTTCCTCTGTACTCTTCTAAATACTTTCTTCTGAACTCCAGAATCCTTCATAATCACTTTTGTCGATTATATTACTGTTTGTCAAGTTTGGAAACAAAGCATCATTTTTTACCGGCGTTTTGAGACTAACAGTAGGTATATCAACATAAAGTTATAAAACAGGTCCAAACACGGATGCACAAGCAATGATCCGATAAATGGCTCCATGCCACCACTCTTCCCATTCACACGCAACGAATGATGCACAGACTTCTAAAAACATATATTACACGCAAGCGAACATATTCGTTTTATCCATAGTAGTATGTATAGACAATTTAATTTTATGCGAATATATTCGTCTTGGGCGTTTTGTAATGCATATGTTGATGACATATTTATCCGTCATATCCACTTAAGAGGTTAAGTCAATCAAGGGTAGATTTGTGCGAACCGCAAAAGATAGTAACTAAAAAATTAAACACAACGTCAAAGAAATGAACACATAGAGGTATAGGTATGTTGGAGAAAATCTAGGGGCATAGACGAATCCACTGTTTTTTTTTAATGCTGAAGTTACCCTCAAAGAAGATTTTGTAATGTTTCAATTTTGGTTTTGTTGTTTCATCGATTGAAATTGATGATCAGTTACGTTTAGATTAACATTATAGACTGCAATTTTCCTTGATCAAAGTACTTGTAGTTGTAGAGCAAATAGTCCTAGTACAAATTATTTATCCGATCTCAGTTACTGTTAAAAAAAGTTCGCTGTTTTGTGATTGCTTGTTTTTGGGCGATAGCTGATGTAAAAACTAACAAGTAAACAGTTAAGTTGAAGAATGCAGAATCTGATATGTAACGTCGTTAAAATCAAATCATTTGGGACGTGACCAAGATTTCGAAACAGGATTTGTGAATCCGGTTGGAAAAATCGGGTAATTGATAAATCCCTAAGTGGATTCAACTTAGTGAGATGAGAGTAGGAACAGCAGAAAGGACTGCTCACCATTTGTTTGCATGCTTGATAAGTCTTCAAGAATAATTTTTGAAAGGGATGCATCAGGGAAAAAATGTATCTAAGAGAATGATTTTTTTAATGACTGTAACTTTTAAACTTTTTCGCTACTTTTTAACATTCTACGAGACACAAGAAAATATAGCAAGGCAAGCTATCGACTTGAAATTTGACACGTTTGTAGAACTTGATTTCCTGATGAACCTATTCAAATTGAGGCTGTAGGGTACAGAAGTATTTTTAAAAACTCAAAAACCACATTTGTAGTGGTGCAAGGTAAACACTCTATTCCGAAAACCGTTTGCGCGAACTAAATTCTTGAACTAGTAAAACTTAAAAATTGAACAAATATTTCAGATTATTTTTGGATCCATTTTCTCGCAAACCATTTACAGGGCCTAAAACATTCTTCAACTAGACAACGCAGGAGATCAAGGCTCGAACTTTTTCTTCAAACATTATTTCGATTATGCACAAAGTGTGCCGGTCATGCACCACAATCTAAGTCTTTTGTCTTTGTCTTTTTTGGAAGTGCCGAAGGGTGCTATTTTGGTATTTACGCCTTTCGTCTATTACACCATATATTGGAAAAAAGATCCATTATTTTCAAAAGTTTAATATGATTTTGAGGTTAGACAAAACTTAGACAAAGTTAGGCAAGGTTATTTAAAACGAACGTTATACAGGTTGTATTTGCAATAGTATTCCAATCATTCTGCGAAAGTGACATGGTGGTCTGCATGAGCACAATACAAAAAAAAAATTGCTCTCTAAAGATAAGAAGCGGCGAATATTAAGGACTGCGTTTCGCGTAGTAATTTTGCCATAACTTTTTTTTGTTTATTAATCGATTATTTTGTAAGAAACGTTTTTGCGACAAAAATATAATTACAGCTACAAGTAAAAAAAACTGTTTTTACACCTTCATTGTTAAAACAAAAAATTGACAACTTTAATTCATTCTTAACATTGTCTTCATGTCGAGTCTGATAGAGTTCTCCAAAAGATATACCCTTTTTACAAGCTTTTATGGTTTTGATTTCGGACTGAGTTTAGACCGGCCTGTTGCAAAGCGGAAGAAACCGTTATTTTCAGCACGTCTACCACAATCCTGGGCCGTATTAAAGATGTTAGCCGACAAGAACTGTGGCATGTGAACTGTTTTATTTTAAGAGTAGGGAAATTTTCTTTGATTAAACTGTTCTATTAATTCATATTAGGGTGTTTTTATAAATAGTCCCTACTTGAGGTAGCTCGATTTTAAGTTGAATTTGCCAATTAGATAGGTTGATCACCAATATTAGAAATACATTGACACATGACTCTAGGAAAGCAATACAAAATCTTACGTAGAAATTGATTTATAATGGATGTTTTCCCAGTTTGCTATTATGAAACAGTATTTCCTTAGCTGTCATGTGACATTGACATTGACAAGAAAGAAAAACTCGGAAAGATCGCAGCGTCCCAAAAAGTCTAGTTGAGATATGCTGGAATCGAGAGACGGTTGATATATGATGCGTATCAGAAGAATATTGTTTTAACAATTAAAACTGTATATGAAGAGTTGTAGTGTTTTGAACATTGACTGTTGCCAAGAGACTTTGCGTGCGTTCGTATGAAAAATTGGTTTTTATTACAAAACCATCAATAATGATGATGGACTCAAGAAGATTTTCGGAGGACCAGACCATATATTTAGATGAGACCGACCTGGTTTGATAGACACGATACCGTCAAAAAAGATTGGATTAATGGTAACAGTAGGAAAAGTTCGCTGGGTGTACCAATTTCGCGGGGCAAACGAATTATCATACTTTGTTGCTTTCTGCAAAAGATGTCAAAGAAGTAAAGGTTTGACTATCACGAAAACATGACGTCAGACATTTTTGAAAAATAGTGTTCTGAAAATTTGCTTCCCAACATTCCACCAGTGATGTGGGTGAACAACGCCAGCTACCATTCTGCAGAAGCGGAAAGAGAAGTTATTCAAAATTTTTTGCTTGAAAATGATATATATTTTGAAAATTCCTACGCAAAGAAGCAGTTATAGGAGGTTCTTAAAACGGAAAGAATGTGTCAAATATGACATCGAAGAAGAAAATATTCTAACAATGTCTTATGGCTAAATTCATTCCCTCATCTATATTTAAAATAAGCATCTTAAAGTATGAAACTCTACACAAATTCGTCAGCTTTCAGCATTTGTATGCACGAAGTACCGAATTACAGTTCTGGAACGCCAGCGGTGTAGGCCTGCGATTAGACCTTCATAAAAATTTACCAAAGTTAAATGCCGGATTAGGTCGTAAAAACGGTCTATTGTTTGGAGAAACTCTACCAGGGGCCCAAATACTAATTCGTTTGGATTAAAATCTTACCTCGAAATCCTCGAAACGGCCGACGATTCGAAACTCCTCGACGACGAGTCGCGCCTGTCTTCGAACACCGTCGTCCGGTCGAGTATCAATCCCTGCTTCTCCAGGCGTTCGAAAAAACACTCCTGGCACTCGCGACTCGCGAAATCCACTTGCAACTTGGAATTTTTCAACACGAAACCGCGCATTTTGCTCACCGCGAGTTGCGCGTGCGACACGTGCTCATAAAATATGAGCGCTTGCCCGCGTTCCCGATCCAACACGCAACGATTTATCACACCGAACGGCTCGAACTGCATCCTCAGGTACTTTTCGTTAACGCTCTCGTTAATGCCATCGATCCACACGCAATTGTATGCCATCGATTTGCCGAAACCTAACTTAATTCGATTATTACCTAAATGTTCACCGTCCATTTTCCGAATGGCCTTCACCACACTCACTATGTCCGAGTATTGACAAAACGCATAAGAACTCACAGCCCCTTGTTTTTTTATATCGATTTCAATTATCTCCCCGAATTGATCGAAGTGTTTCCTGAGATCAGATGCTGTCACGTCCTTCTCCAGGTTGCCGATGAAGAGCGTCCGTGTGGCTTTTGGATGGTACTCGTCGATTTCCGCCTCGTACGGTCGCAGGTCGCCCTCTTCCACATCGCAGATGGTGTATGGTGCCACCTGAAAAATCACGTGAAAAACCAACTAACAACTCTGTGGTAACGCACCGTACCACGAAAAACTCAAAAACGCGACGAGAATATTTCATATCTCAGTGAAACCGAATGCAACCAACCAGAAAAATAACCGTCTTATGCGACAGGTAGACGTAAATTATAATAGAAACTGCGTTAAGTCGTCGCCAGGTAAAGTGTAAAGTCAAAGGGAACAAAACAGGTCGTTTTAATGCGATAGCGGGATGGGGAGTCAGTAGAGGATAATTTACATAAATATAATATAGAAATCACATCTCAAGCCATTTTCCAATTCAACATTTGGGAACGAAAGTATTACATAGAGTGTTTCGAAATTAATGTGCCAAATTTTATGGCGCGTTCCACAAATGGTCGTTTGTAATAGCAATATCCGAAACCGAGTTTTTACTCTCAAAAGGTCATTTTTCTCACAAAGAATAAGTAAAATCAGACGTAGTACAAGACGTGAAATCGAGGTTAAAAACAATTAAAAAAGACACACCATATCGCTTGTTAAAAAAAAACCTACTTGATATTTTATGGGGAATGTTTGACGAAATATTATTAACAAGACATTTTGTTAATGTATATTGAGTTAGGTTTCTAATTTACCTAAGCTTTTGAATACATAAAAACAACGACAATAAACAAATCCTAAGAAAAAAATAATTTTCAAACGGCGGGATATTTCATTTGACATTTTGCACAAGTAGCAAAATTCGTTTTTTGATGCAAAATATTTATTTAAAATATTACCAAATTTGTATGGAATATTTTTTAAGGAAAACATTTCGAAGAAATATTCTGGACCTTTTTCCGAACGGTTTTCGAGTAAAAAAAAGTGAGTCGTCGTTTTCTAAAACAAAGGAGAATCTTGTTTTCAAGAGTATTATGAAGTATTAATTTTACGGTTCAGTATCATTAAGGGACATTCTGAGCCGTTTTAGGAGATGTCTCATATTGTTTTCAAGTCCGTCACCTGTTTCTGGCGTAGTGGTTTGATTTAAAAAATCCAGTCAAGTCCCCAAGCCTACAGAACTTTCTTTGAATTACATATATTTTTTTCAGTAACACACTCATGAACGTTAAAACAAAGAAAAGGAAGTTTTAGTGAGAGGAAAAAATATGTTGGTACTTAGGAGCACAAAACTTCTTTTTCAGGCAGAGTCGAAACGCGTAAATTGTAGTTTTTAGGTTACGTTAAATCTTAACTGTTAACGTGGTGTAAAAGCTAGGCATTAAGAGAATACGAGAACACAAACTTAAGTAGAAGGCTACAAGTTGTTAATTTGCGAGAAGTTTTTTTTTTATCACAAAAGACACTCCAGTTCACAAATAATTTTTAAATGATTAATTATTAAAAGAGAAAGAAAGAAAGGTTATTCTTTTCGTAAAAAATAAGCCACACGCCCAATAATGATTTGGCATCTAACAATGTTGGTTAAGTGTTAACTTAACCAATACTGTCAACATGACGAACACTGGAAGCATGAATCTTGGTTTTGGTTAGTTTACTTCTTTAAATATTTATTCAGGTAGAGATAAAAGAATTAAGGATTTTTTAATATTTTCATAGGATATTTGAACAAACATTTCAAAAAACCAATCAAAAATTAAAGTCAAATTACACCAAGGCAAAACGAACTTGTGTATGTACTACCGATTACAGTTTTAGCAAACTGGTATTCCTTGCAACATTTCAACATGACGAAAACTGGAAGCGTAAATCTTGGTTTTGGGAAGTTTATTTCTTTAAATATTGATTTAGTTAAAGATAAAGAATTAAAGATTTTTTTTTTATTTCCATTAGATATGTGAAATATTAAAGTCAAATTACGCCGGGGCAAAACGAATTTGTGTATCTACTACAGATCGAATTTGTGTATCTACTACAGATTAAAGTTTTAGCAAATTGATATTCTTTGGAACATGTGAACATGACGAAAACTGGAAGCATGAATTATTCTTTGCAAATAGCTTTAAAATGCAAACCTTCCATATATGGCCCTTACCTCGATCTTACACCCAAAAAACAGTTTGTCGTAACTAACTTCCAGCGCCTTATCCGCGTCTTCGGGTTTTTTGAAGCAGACGATGGCGTAGCGGTCGGCCGCCTGACCGACCACCTTGACCCACGTCACCTTGCCGTGCTTTTTGTACTCGTGAAACAGTCCATCTTTCAATGACGTATCGCTGGAACGCAATGGCAAGTTCTTGACGCAGATCGCCACCGGTCTACGGTCATCTTGGCCGCTCTGGTTGGTCGAGGAACCGTGCTGGTGATGTCGTCGCGAGCGCGGCGACGACGTGGTGCTGGTGTCGCGAGACGTCGAAGACGTCGACGAACTACTGCTACTCCGCGAACGTGACCTGGTGAAGAAATACCACATAGAAGAACGATACGTTGCGCTTGTCAACTCAGTAGTGTATGAATATTCCACCACAGGTTTCAGTTTTTGACTACAACGGGTGCTTTTAATATGTTAATATATTTTAATTATTAAGAGGCGAGAGGAGCAACTAAAACATAAAAGAAAAGAAAAATAAAATAATTTTTGGCTAAAGAGGAGAAAAGGCGAAACAGAAGTGTGTCGCCCACGAAGGCATCATCAGACAGACATTCATCAAAACACACAAAAATCCAACGTGTTATTAATAATATTTGAGACCTCGACCTTGGATTTATGTTATCTTATTTCCAGGTGTAGATTTGAAAGAATAACAAGGGGATATCCTGTATAGTCAGCCATTGTCAATGGTCTATCATACCGCTATCAAATCAATAGAAATTTGAATTAGTTGTTTGATTTTAATGCAGAATTGTTGTTATAATTTTAGAACGCAACACATTTTTAATTTTGTTAGGTTTAGTTTCTTCACCACCTAGCTTTGCCTAACCATATACCGTTTTTACAACCTTTTATGGTTTTGACTTCGGAATGAGTTTAAGACCCGCCTGTTGTAAAGCGGAAGGGACCATTCTTTTATATTTTTATATTTATATTTATAATAAACATTTGAAATCCTTCAGGTTGAAGTACGGTTCTTGAACGTCATTGCGGAATTGCGAATCTATTTATTAATAGTAACAAAACATAAAAATTTACCAAAGTTAAATACCGAATTGTGCCGTAAAAACGGTATGTCGTTTGGCAAACTATACAGTACACAGTGTTCAATAACGTAATCGGATAAGAAGAGTTGCACAATAAATGTGGTTGCAAGTCAAAACAGGCTAAATTTTTAATGGACAAAAAGTGTAAACTGTTGAACGAATTCTCGTATATACCCTTCGAAAACTGACTAAGTTTTAAAATGTAGAAACGACGTAAAATTGCAATGTTCTGGTAGAAAACTTACCTCGACGGAGATCTACTGCTGGTGCTTCCGGAGGGTGATGGCGACCGAGTACCCGACCTGGATTTGGCCTTCTTCCTGACATTTTGATCCGAGTTTCGCCTTTCATTCGTCTCAGACGCTGTCGAATTGTACCCTGTTTCCGACTGATTTCCCGCATTACTGTTGTTAAACCTGTAAACAAAAGATGCAACGTTATTTGAGGAGTCAAATTAACATCAGAAACAAGCATTGGCGCAACAACATTCACCAAGTCACAGTGTCAAGGTCATATTTTGAGAAATTATAAATATATTTACGAATTATGGAACTGCGTAATCCGTATCGTTTGTAAACAATGGCCCAACTTAGCGCTAAAATTTTGAATAACAATGCTGGATAATCGCGGCCTAATATGTTCATTCAACATGTACGCCTATCTATTTTCTATTTTTAAATTTCAACAGACGTTTCCAAAAGAATAATACCTGTAAAACCTCAAAGTTTTAACACAGTTTTTATTCGTTTCTTTTAAACAGAAAAGCGTTATTTCGAACATAAAAATACCCAATACAGAATATCATCTCTATTGAACAACTAAACTAAACTAGTTAGAAATGCCGAAAGTTTTTCAATTCGGACATATCTTCCCAGAGAGACAAAATTATACAGTAATTTACTTTTTACAGAACTTCTTAAATCCTCCTGCGTGGGGTTTAGTCAAGCTCTGAAGAAGCCAACAGGATAACTGGCGAAACGTCAGCAAGTTCGACCCAGCAAAAACCGACACAGGAGGAATCCAGAAATTTTGTAAAAAGTATTACAGTAGGCTGTGGGAGTTATGGCCGAACTTCGAATACCAATAACCTAATATTCAAGGTGTTCCGTAACTGGTAATAGTTATTCACACTCTACACTCATGACTACAGTTTTTACAATTTTAATTAATTAAGTTTTAATTATTATTGGTACTAAAATTTACAATTTTAATACCAATAATACAGTCGTTGATGAGGGTTTTAGTTAATTTTTTAACTAATGTACTCTGAACTAAATCACTCGATACTTATACAAAACACAATAACTGTACGCTGCTGGAATAAACCATTAAGCATTTCTCATTAAAATTCATTATTTCAACAATTAATTGAATAATATAATAAACACAATTCTGCTTTAGATATAGTTTCATTGACTTACTCCATTATGTTCACATTTACTATAATTTTAGAAAATGTTTGCCTACAAAAGAAATAGTTAAATCGTTGATTGTAGAAACGTAGCGAATAATATGTCTGTATTTGGAATACTTAAAATCGCGGTAATGATTATTATCGAACTCCGTAATATGCGCAATCTATGATAACTATCCATATTTTTACCTCATTAATTACTATTAAACCAAAAAATCATAACCATGAACCAGATAGACAGATTAGCCAGGTTTTGCAATTCAGCAAAATTAAAATATATTACGATAATTTAATAACATTTATAATAACGCAGACTAAAGGACAGATTTTATTCAACTATACGGCAAAGATTTTAATATTTAATTCATTATTTATTTAACTATTAATCTAAATCAGAAACCCCGCATATTTTGGCTCTAAGAAAACTGCTAAAAATTAAGGTGAATGGTTGAAGTAGACCGGTGGGAAAATTAAATAATTTTCAAATTAAATAATAGGCACATTAAATTATAGACAGTGTTCGTAGAGACAATCTTCAGAGTGAAGTAAGTAATCAAGAACAATCGACTATTTGGAAACCAGAATGAACGAAATTCTACAAGAGAGTACATCGTGGTCATACACTAGGGCTTTAAGAAGAACCAGTGAACCGCAATTTAAATTTAATATCTTTAGAAACCAGTTCAGCACCGCAACCAAACATGAGCTCGTTAATCTGCTTGTCGAAGAATTATAGCTTATGAGCTATAGCCATACTCCTACTTGGTTCGTATTGAAGAAAAATTAACCAGGACCAACCTACTGATATTCTCCCAGACACATAGACACCCTAAAAGTTCCTGGAGATATTATTGAACAATTCGACCCAAAGCCTGGACACCACGAGAGAACGTCGGGCAAACCGAAACTTAAACCTTGAGCTCCGGACCAAAATACTTCGCTGCTACATGTGCTCAGTTCTATTGTACAGATGTAGCCACAGAAAAGATAATGGACGCGTCTGAAATATAAATGCGTAAACATAAAGAAGTCCTCATGACAAAGAGAGAAAACTCCGATACCAGGACATATGATGAGAGGTAAATGATATGAGATAATGAGAGCTCGGAGATAAACAGTGACTCGGATATTTTAATGTTGGAGTATTGACAGGCTCAAATGATCTATTTTGCTTCAGTTTTAGTTAATTTTAGATGATTTTTTACATAGTGTGGCCTGGTTTTATAGTCCGAATAGTATGACTACGGACTTATTGGCATTAAGTTTTAAGTAATAAACTGAAGATAATCAAATATGGAGTTTAGGTACTCGTTAATCTAGCATCGAATACTTCATTTGTCTGAAAAGTTCGAGCCCTGGCATACGTCTTGTCTCACAGAAAGATTGCCGCAATTATTATTTATCCCAACTAACTTGAAAACGCTTATAGGATCAAAAATGAGGAGTCCATTTTAGAACCAAAACAAATTGCTCACAGAATATCGTAGGTGAACGAACCCCGAGATTCAACTTAACAACCTTTCCGGGCGACGAAAACAAAAACAGGTCCGCCAAGGAAGGCGGGGTTTATTTGTCGTACCACGAAACTGTTTGCTTTAGTCAACAAGGAATTTTATTGCAAAAGTTATTGCCAGGCAAAATAAAAGGAACGACGCAAAGAGAATTAAATTGTTTGCGAAACGCGGGGGGATATTGCAGTTTAAGCGTCGTAATAGAATCGTGGTCGACGGTAATTTTATGGAAAACACGCCGCCGTATAAATAACAGTAAAGTTTGATGGGCGTACGCCGCGATGCATTTGGCTTAACGTCAAACGCAAAGTTCAGGTATTGACATTTCGCTATCGAAATGTCGGACCATTGACTTTATTCCTCTCGCGAGGTTGCACGGAATAAAAAATCCGATTGTTTTGAACGTTTAAATCGCTTTGTTGTTCCTCGTTTGGAACTGTTGTTATGCTGATTACGGAAATGACGCGCCTAGCCCACCCAATTAAACTTGTAGATGGAAATTACTTAGCAGAAAAACATCTAATTTGTGGATGGTGTCTCACTCGAAATATAAGTTTTATAACTATTTTTAAATACTGTCGAAAAAATTCCTATCGAACTGACGAACTGTCAGCGGCCATGTTATTCGTTAAACGCCGCAAGGTCTTATTGTTTTGAAGCGGGATTTGAAATTACAGGTTTTTTTATGTTCAATTCAAAAGGCCCTCATTCAGAAAGGATTAAAAAAAATCTAATATATCTAAAGAAGTAAATATAACAGCAGTTTTATTTTTGAGATCCGATTAATGCGAAAAATTATTTTCTGAAAATGCTACTTATTAATTTAATAAATTCTGGGAAAAAAATATCTAAAATTTTCACATATTGATGAAAACAAGTTTTCATTTCGTACTTAAATAAAAAAACGTTATTTGTCTTGTCATCAAAACAACCGTGTCATTCTGGTTATGAGTTTACATGAAAACAGTCTTTTGAAACTTAAAATATTGCAAATAAGGAAATTTCGCATTTCGAGTGATATTTTTTAAAAAATCACTTAACTCGTTAAATGGAGTACAACGCACTATTAAATCTCTTTCTAAAGTCTAGGAATGCAGTATCAATGCAACGCGGATATAGTTTAATATGCAAAGCAAATGTAGGAAAATTTTTAGAATATTCTATTTCTCTGCCTGTGAGAGAATAAATGAGTTACATAGCCTCATTAACAACATAACAAATAAATTAAGTGAAATTCTTATTTTTTCTCAAAAAAATCAGAATGCACCCTAATGGAATAATTAATGTTTCATATCGTTCATTGCTTGTTCAGAATATCTCGAATCTCGTTATGTAGAAATATGAAACCCAAAAACTGGTTCGCAGCGCGTCACATGTACGGTGATTGCAATCAAGCACCATCTTGCGTGTCTTTCTCGAACGTGATTGAATCGCCCAAAATTATTATATACAGAAATCACAAAAATGTATTTATAAAAATAACATCCAACTGGCAAAATAATTGATTTTTATTGCAAGGATATTAAATCAGGAAATGTCAGAGAAACTGATGCTGAGCAGAGAGATAACGAAATTTTTATTATAAGTGGTTTGGTCCGTTAGTCTTGCGATGTTGACCAAAAATGCGAGGAAATAAAGTTCGCCCAATGATATACTTTTACAACCTTTTATGGTTTTGACTTCGGAATGAGTTTAAGACCCGCCTGTTGTAAAGCGGAAGGGACTATTCCTTTCGGCACGTGCAGCACAAGAGAGGGCCGTATTTAAGATGTTAGCCGACGTGCGGACTGTTGTATTTTAAGAGAAGGGAAATTTTCTTTGATTAAACTGTTACATTAATTCATATTAGTGTGCTTTTTATAACAGTCCCTAATTGAAGCAACTCGATTTCAAGTTGAATTTGCCCATTAGATAGGTTGACCTCCTATAATAAAAAGACATTAGGAAGCTTAGACTGATTTCCAATTTAAGGGTTTAACATAATGACTCTAAAATATTTTCCTAGAAAAGCATTACAAAATCTTATGTACTGATTTATAATGGATGTTTTGGTTAGTTTGCTATTGGTTGATTACTGGGATTTGGTGAAATCGGAGTATGGTGTCAGTTTTAGAAAAAGTATTTGGTAAACAAGCCGTCGAAGCTTTGGAATTATTTATATTCCGTCTTGTGTTAACTTGTTAGTAATTACCAACTCACATGTAACATTATTCAATTTTGTTAGTCACTTGGGATGTTCCGCGGCGAAGAAGTTGAGATTGCGGTCGATGACGTAATAATCGTTGATGATGAACATCCGTGAAATTCAAATGGATCAAATACTCGGACTCACTTGCCGGTTATTGCCAAAATTATAATTTGAAATGGGTTTCTGTTTCACAAATCGACATATGGGGGTATGCTACAGTACGTGACATAGTTGCAAATGGTGTCCAAGAAAGAAAAGCTCGGAAAGATAGCGGGGTCCCAAAAAGTCTACTTGAGATATGCCGGAATACTGAGACGGAAGATGAATATTGTTTTAACAATTAAAACTTTATATGAAGAGTTGCATAGTGTTTTGAACATTGACTGTTACCAAGAGACTTTGCGTGTGTTCGTACGAAGAATTGGTTTTTATTACAAAACCATCAAATAAGAGACAAATTTTCATGGAGTCAAGAATTTCGGAATGGAGGACAAGACATTTGGAAGGAATCGAAGAAATTCGTGTTAAAAACGTCCCCACCATATATTTAGATAGGACCGACCTGCTTTGATAGACACGATACCGTCAAAAAAGGATGGACTGATGGTAACAGTGGGAAATGTTCGTTGGATGTGCCAGTTTCGCGGGGAAACGAATTAGCATACTACATGCGGGCTCTGAAGCTGGTTGGGTAGATAACGCTTTGTTGCTTTCTGCGAAAGATGTCAAAGGAGAAAAGGTTGACCAGGAAAACATGACAGCAGACATCTTTGAAAAATGGTTTCCTGAAAAATTGCTTCCCAATATTCCACCGAACAGTGTTGTAATGGACAACGCCAACTACCATTCTGCACAAGCGAAAAAAATACCGAATTCATCATCGACTAAAAAAGTCATTCAAAAATTTTTGCTTGAAAATGATATGTATTTTGAAAATTCCTACGCAAAGAAGCAGTTATTGGAAGTCCTTAAGACGGGAACGTTTGATAAGGAGCATAATATGGACAAGTTGTCCAAAGTTGTCCGTCTTCCACCATATCACTGCAATTTTAATCCGATAGAACTGAGATGGGGACAGCTGAAACCCAGTTTAAGAAGAAACAACACCTCGCAGAAACTTAGTTCTGGGGCAATACAATTAATGGGAAGTGAAGTAGAAAAAACATCTGCTTCTAGTTGGAAAAATTGTATGCGCGAAGTACCGAAGCACGGTTCTGGAACGTCGTTGTGGAATTGCGAGGATTACAAAGAGAGGCCCAAAGTGGTTAGACCTTCATAAAAATTTTCAGGATAATGTCGTAAAAATGGTATGTTGTTCGGCGAACTTTACAAGAATGATTTTTTTAATATTACCTAGACGACTCGTACCCCGACCATCCGACGCCGGTAGAGGGCGTCCTGTGACCTTGGGCGCTGAAAGGGCCGTTCGTACTTCGGTAAGAGCGGTCCCTTGTTCGTCCGCGACAAGAACCGCCCACCGTAGTCGTTCCACCACCCGTATCTTGGTACGACGTGGACGTCGTCGTCGTCGTCGCGGTACGACGGTTCGCGGTTTCCGGCGCGCCCCCTTCGGGTGGGGGCGGCGGGCGGACGTTCGACGTGGTGGTGTTGCCGCCGCCGCCGCCTCCGCTTTGCGATGCGGTAGACGACGACCGCTCGTAAAAACGGGACGATGTCGTACCGGATCCGGCATCCGGGAATGGAACGTGTTCGTCGGAGGACCTGCGGGCAAAAAATGGGGTTTTACGTTTACACATTACTTATAACTTGTAAGGTTATGTAATCATAATAATAAAATAAACTTTACATTAGATTACATTTTCTTGATGCATCTAAAACCCTTGCAAAAGTCATTGCTAGCACCCAGTAATTATCAATATATGGACAATATTGTAACTCCACTGGCTTGAAATAAACATCATCAACAACATCAGCAGAATCACCACGTGCCTTGTATCGTTTGGACTCGTCTAGTTCATTTCCCAGGCGTTAACACAGAGTAATTATCAATATATAAACTCCACTGGGTTAAAATAAACATCAAGCCCAAGTAGTGGCTTCAGATAAATAACTTCAACAGAGTCACCACGTGCCTTAAGCCGTATGGACTCATTTAGGTTTATTTTCCAAGTATTAGCACCGAGTAATTATCAATTTATGAACAATATCGTAACGCCACTATGTTAAAATAAACTTAAAATTAGCATCAGGTCCAAGTGGTGGTCCATTGCGTAAGCCTTAGGGCTACAGAACAGTTTCGTTCGTTTCCCAAAACCTGATTGAACTAATTTATTAATAGAAACCGTTTAGCAAATTTAAAAATAACTTGTTTCCCTAGTTGTGTTTCTCTTGTAAATTACATCTCATGCTGTAGCCTTTGGTCTTCATCTCTTGTTTAAATGTGAGTTAAAAAATGAGTTCCAAATATTTTTGTGGTCCTGTCTAAATATATCGATAACGCAGCGCTTTATATTCACATGGTATATATTATAATTTTGCTTTTTATAGAAAGCTTACAACGTAAATGAAAATACAATAATAATCAACAGCTCCGGTGAGTATCGGGTAAAGTTCACGACCCTCGGAATTTCACAAACATATAACTTATGGAAATAAACACCTTCCTAATAGCAAATAGCAAAAACTTCAGAATATTCAAAAGTTTTGTCCAAATTCGCGAAATTTTAGGTAAACCTAAAAAGCATGGCACAGGGCAGCTACGTAAACTGGTAAGAAAACAAATATGTACAGCCATTTCATTTTACAATTATCCAAACGGTAATAACTTTTGAAATTAGTCACTAACAAAAGTCAAACACCTGGCGTGGATACCGCAATTCAAGAGGAAATCGTAGATCGTAGAGTACACCTTAGAGCACAATAGAGCAGTACGCATGTTTTTTTTACTGAAGTGAATCAATAATAATGCTGCGAATTGTAGAGAATCCAAAAATACTAAATAGACGAAAAATGCAACCTAAGTATTCCCACAAATCATGTTATTCTTAGTCTGGTCAACATAAAAATTCAGAGATGGAAATCTATTATCTTGTCAAAAAATGCAAGTTATCTTCTATGATTATGCAAGATAATTGCATCATTCTTAAAACCATTTGTTCTGATACTCTTGCGATTTTTTGACGAATAACATCTTTCAGTTGCGTAATGGCGGGGCGTTTAATAGCGTACACTTTACACTTAAGGGCCCCACTAAAAAGTCGCATGCAGATAAGTCTGGAGACAGCGGTGTCCAAAAAATATCACCCGAACGAGAAATCGTATGTTCAGAAACACATTCCATTCATGCTCTCGCTACGACAGCTACGTTAAGGATTTCTGTGTAATGAAGCATGGAGAAACTGAAAGTTATGAATGATGCACACAGATGTAATTAAAACAAAATTTCCTTGAAAATAAATCTTATGGTTATTTGAAACACGCGCGTTTCTTCCGCGCGATCTTGTATAAATATTGCAACTGGCTGAATTATACGTCATATTTGGGATTGTAATATAAGTATAAGATTCAAACATTTTCATAGCAGAGATTAAAGCAGTTTCCGTTGTATTATATATACATAATGATTAAGTCAACGACTTGTTTTTATCTCATCTCTTGCGTGTCTCGCTTGGGCTGGTTCTCCTCCTTCTCGGGGTATATTATTATTAACTAATTTATTTTTGCGAGTGGGACAGAACGCATTTATCATTACCCGTAGCGTATGTTTTAACCTATACATAATATACGAGTCGTTAAGAGAAGCCATGCAACCGAGTTGTTAAATATTACTTAAACATAATTACCGGTACTTCAATTAGAGCGAACGATTCATTCGACAAAGTAAAGCTGAGCGTTAAAATCAAGAGAAAATCAGAAATTAAGTAAATCTACAAAGGACTTATTAAACAATTGATTGTTTATGGGTCTACTTTATTATGTAGGACTCTAATGAGAATATTGGACATGCATTAAAACTCATTGAAACGACATCCATAACTTTTAATCATTTCTTAAAGGATGTGTTCAAAAAAATGTAATTATTGGGAGGGGAAACATATTCAGCTATAATCATTTAGAAACTACGAGCCCTAACAACTAATTGTACGGACGATGTACGAAATAATAAGAAAACATATGTATATTTATTTTAAATTGATTTTTTTTGCCTTTTCGATTGAAAAATTAAATCACGCACTTATTTTTATACCAAAAAGTGCTATCGTAATGAATTATTTTTTTATTTCACATAAATTACACAACAAAATGTCAAAAACATACCGAATTTGCTGACAAATAAATATTCGGACGCATTTAAATCTTTTACTTCAAATCGAACATTGATAAGAAGTAACATCACCTTTCGCGGCAATAACAGCTTTTATGGCATGGAATCTACCAAAGTCCTGCAATATTCGGGGGTGAAAGTGTTCCAAATTTCGGTGATTTTTGCCTTTAATGCTGGAACTGTAAGATGAGGATTGTTACGATGCCATAAAGTTTCAATAATATTCAAGTCAGGGCTACTTGATGGCAACGATAAAACTTTCATATTATGGCCCCCAAACCACTTTTTTGTTGTTTTCGCAGTATGGCAGTATGGCAGTATAGTATGTCTTGTTGAAATATAAAATTTTCATTTCCAAACGTTCGTTCTATTGATGGAATCAAACTTCTTGATAAAATTTGTTGGTATTTTTCTGCATTTACAGTACCATCAATGAACTCATAGTTGCCAACCCCTTCACCGAGTGGTAAATGAATTAATATACACCCCCATATCATAACACCCTGGGGAAATTTTAGTGTGCGCTTTAGACAATCTTTGTGAAAGGCTTCTGATTTTGTACGAATCACCCTTTTTCGAAAATCGCCTACACACACGTCAAATTTTGATTCGTCGCTGAAGATAACGTTATTCCACGTTTCCGTTGTCCAGGATATTTTAGATTTTGCCCAATCCAAACGTTTTTTCTTCTGGATAGACGTTAATAATGGTTTTTCCTTTGCCTTTAACCAAAATATTGAATCAGGAAAAATTGTAAACTTACATTATAAAAACTCAAACCAGACATATGCTTCCATTGTCTACAACATTCCCTGGAGACATTTAAGTTTGCCTCGTGATTCCATTCGGCTTGAATTTGTCGATTTGTCTTCTGCTAGCTTTACAAATCTTGACCAGAATACGACGATCTCTTTCAGTGATTTTACGGGGTCGGTCTGAACTTTTACCACGAACGCTAACACTAGTTGTCTCTCTATACTTTTTTATAATATCCCCAACTGTTGATTTTGCAATCTCAAGTCATTTGAAATTTTTTGCATTGATTTATCTCGGCAGTACTGAGCTTTGATAATTTCTCGCACTTTCTTGTTTGTTGACAATAAACATTCGCGTCCGAATATTTATTTGTCAGCAAATTTGGTATGTTTCCGTTATTTTGCTATGTAATTCATGCGAAATACAAAATAATTCATTACGATATTTAAAAAAAAATTAAATAGATATAAAAATGACTTTGTTATCATTTTTTACATCGTCCGAACATTTAGTTGTTAAGGCTCGTATCTGCCATAAGGAAGCATAAGTAGTTTGACAATTGACAATTGAATTAGGTCGATTACTGAATACAAGGCAAGTCCTACAAAAGCAGAAACACTCTTCAACGTTGGCACCTCGCTTGGCACAATGTAAAATTTAAATAGAAGGCGTGGACCTAATGCCGATCAATAATCGGTATTGAAACGAAAGCTCCCAATACGAGGTGCTGTTTAAAAGGCGACAGAAAATATTTATAACAAAGCAATTTGACCTACTTAGGCTCGTGCGTTCAATCGGTTCAAGGTGCAATACCACCTTTGCCGTTACCAATGATAAATAATTATAGTCGATATGTTAGGATTGGTTATGAAACTCGCTATTGGCGAATGACCCGTCTTCGAGTTTCCTTTATTTTTCCGTTTATGAGAAACAAGAGCTAAATTAAAAAAGCAACTTCTTATTTGACTACAGCAATAAACAACTTAAAACATCAAAGAAACCCAACAGATGTGTTTGATGTTGGCATCGTTGTCATCTAACCTGAATGGCATCCAAATTCAAGAGAGAGTGGCATAAATAAGGTCCGAGAATAATATTAAAATAGTCTTTTGATTAATAAATAAATTATAACCGAATACAAAATAATTTGAAACTTGCTTTGCTAAAATATATTTTTTAAACTCACTAACCGAATATTAATAAGCTACTAGATCTTTTTTATCAAACAGTTGATATATCATATGAGTAGATGAAATCGTACGAACTTTGCTACTGCTCAGATTGGGATTTTAACATTGTGCAAAGAATCCGGTTTCTGTAGACAAGTGAAATTCTGATTGTTACTTTCATAAGAGCGTTTTGAGAAATTTAGTTTTGAACAAAGTTAAAAATATTTTTCTTAGAAAAAAATAGCAAACTGTTCAGAAACTGGAAAATCGTAATCATTTATTGTTATCTAAATGATAATTTCTTCTTGAAAGGACGTTATGCGGAGGCTTCAAGAGAAGTGTCTGTTCTGTCGATGAACGTGGCTCCCGAATCATTTGCATGTAAATGCAAATGATTTTAATGGTACATATTACGCAACAAGGGTGATAAACGTATTTAAAACGTAAAAACTTTATCAAATGTGTTGCATACTATACTTTTGCAAGAATTGCAGAATTGACAAACGTCAAAA